CGGGTCAGAGTTCTGTAATTGACCTCGCCAATGGAAATTTACATTTGAACTTATCTTGATTGGAAATTACATTTTTAAATGAACGCTGGCATGTCCAGGTGTCCAGCGTAATCAAAGGCAGCCCACACTCAAGGATATTCTGGGGCAGGACCCTTAGGGGTTGCAGCCCGGTGCAGGTGGAAATCCTTTCGCAAATTACTTTACTCATAACTCATTTCTCTAATAGACCTGGGGGCGTGGCCCATAGCTGAGCCACCTGTCCAGAGAGCAAATAAATATTTGATGAGGGAATTCTAAAAACTTCCGTAAATTCCATTTCAATTGTAGTTTTGACCACAAATAAGGTCCTTGGGGGTGCCACTTAAAAAAAATACACAATTGAATTACATTAAGTGCATCCTAGATCGATCTAATACCAAATTTATTGCCATTAATGACAAGTTTTGTATAAATATCAAAGTCAATCAAATCTTTTGAATATCAAGATCTTTTGGTAGAATTATAAGAGCTCAAATCTAAATTTACTAAAGAGCAGCATCAAAAATTCTTTAAATCTAGTATTAAAATAATTATATTTTAATATTAAGATTTGATTAAAAGATTTATGGTTTCTTAGGACTTTAATGCGATTATTTCGACTTCACTTTTTTGGCGCGATCTAATAAAAGCCTATTTTCTGTAATTTGTTCGCCAAAAATATTTCACCGCTCCCCTTCGCCAATCTATATAATTTGAGCTCCTTCGCTGCATTTTCCGGCGGCATAAATTAGCATTAATTCATAAGTCAGTCAGGCCAGCAATTGCAATGCAAAAAAGAGAAAATGAACCAGAAAGGAAAATGTTTTTCGGCTGGAAAAGAGAATTTGCATACAAACTGCAAGGTCCGTACAACGCCCCCCGAACAACAAATTATGTGGGGCCCAGTGGGGCTGTGAACTGGGGAGTGGGGAATGGGGGCTTAGTAGGCCTCGCAGGATTCCGATGGAGTGGGCTGGAGGATGGTGCGACAGGCTAAACGCCGGCAATGTTCCTGAATAATGGGCCACCGGCGCCAACTGACGTTGGTAGGCAATTTTCTAGGAATCTAGATGGGGTTGCGTCGTGTCTATGGCGAGGTGCAACTATATATACATACAAATGTGTTCTATATAGGTGCACATATTGCACGGCAAGGGCTACTGCATAATTTATTTAATCGCGGGCAACAAATCTAAATTGATCGTTAGGCGTAGGCGAACACCCAGCTGAACCAACAAAATGTCTAACAAGGATATTGCATGTTCTCTATATATATTTAACTATTTTTCTCCTCACTTTTTTCTATTGCAGTGCCAATTAGCTAGAGAGGTTTTTCAACAGGGCAAAGGAATATGGCGCCGCAACAACAGAACTCCACATTCATCGATGATAATCTCGACAGCTGTCCATCGCTGTTGAATCTACCCGAAAGCCCCATTCTTCCGCCGCGACGATGTCAAAATCAAGACGCCAATAATAATAATAATAATAATAAGCAGGCTGCATTCGAGGAGCGCTTGGTGGATGAATCGGTGGGGGAACCACCATTAGCACCACCAGCACCGCCAAAGGCACCAGCACCACCAACTCGGCAAGCATGCAAAAATAAACACGGCAGGGAAAACGGAAACGTTGGCCAGGCCAGTCGTCGCCACCGTTCCATTTCCCTCTACGGCGTTAATAGCACTGTGGTAAGTGCCCCCCATCCTCCTCCTTCTCGGGCTCACAGACCCCTACTACCAGAACAACCCCCCTCCCCTGATTTTTCGGTTGCGGCAGCTTTTCCACTGAAATCAAACAAATCATCTAATTGGGTGGGCAGGCAATGGCGTTAGTCATATGCATAAGCGGGCGACCTCGAAGAGAACCTGTACTGTACTTAAATGGGCCTGGGAAACTCCGATAATGCGTAGATTATATAAGGGTTTGATTGCGGCTTTGAGCAAAGGATTTCCTTATAAAAATCCAATATCAAATCCTACTATCTTACGTCCTTATAAAGCTCTGATGTCCCTTTTAAAACTTGATAAAGTTTTAAAACTTGATAAAATCTAGAAATAATATTCAAGTATAATTTTTATATTCAACTAAATAACAGGAATATTTATACGATTTTTATTCAAAACTCAGCAGAAAACGTAAAATTCTATATATTGTTTGAACAGTATTTGTTCATAGTTATTTTTTGTAAGTTTTAATCTTCGGCATTACAAAAAATAAATAAATAAGGCAAAACCTCATAATCAATACAGTTTCAATTCCAATAACAGCTCAAAATCGTCTTCTGAATGTCTGGCAAACCGCTTTACTGATCTCCGTACTTCCCCGTTCTTTCTTGCGACCCTTTAGGAGCAAGGCCACAAGGAAATCCCCATCTGGATGGACGATGGCGAAGCGCGTTACGTATCGGGAGTGACGAACAAAACGACGTGCGATGACATAATCAAGGCGCTGATTGATGACGAACTGAGCAACGGCGAAGGGCTTTACTGCGGCAATAATCCGAAAGGTAAGTTAATTTCATTTTTTCCAACCGATCCTGTCGTGACTGCTATTTTCGATATATACATTCCACAATTTGGATTTTTTATTTATTTATGCTCTTTATTTACAATTACTTTTATTTTCTCCCGTTTGCGTTTCGTTTCATTGAATTTTTTGTTGTTTTCCGGACGTTGGAAAAACAAGATGGCGGCCAGAGGAATACGGCGGCAGCATCGCGTGACTACGGCGATTACATTATAACGGAAAGTTGGGGCGGCATAGAACGGAGCTACGATGGCAACATGGCCATTTTGCCCGTTTGGCGCGCTTGGAGCCGTGTACACAATGAGGTAATGGCAACAATCGGGGGACCAGGGGAATCCCACCTGGCGTGCAGAAAAAAAAATAGAAAAACGAAACACCAGCGAACTGGGCCCGAAAAAAGTCTACAGTGATTGCATAATAAGCGCTTTTTTCCTGGCGCCGCACGCAAGCCAAGAAATGTGAAATTCATGTCGTTCTCGAAACCCATTCCCTAGATTCCATATCCCCCTCCAGAGTGACACCCGCGCCTACTATATAGGTACCACTCGCATTTGACTTATGCTCTGGCTTTTCGTATTTATTTGTTTATGACGCACCGAGTGAAATCAATTTGCCTATTGATTTTTATATTAAAGTTCATGTTTTCGTTTCGGCCTAATTATGTTGTAAATTTTTTATGATCCCACCCTTTATTAATGGGATTAAAGGTATTTGAGGACTGCGAACTCCTAATTGTTATTTGATGATCTTATCTAGTTAATGGACACAAAGAGTTAGTAGAGAGATTGAGATAGTGTATAAAGTTGATTGCAACACAGAGAATTATATTTCATTTGTTGATACTCAAGAAAAATATTTATTATTTTGTAGGTTATTGGATTTTGAGTTTAAATAAATAAATAGTATTTATAGTAAACTTTTTTTCCTCTTTGTAATTTAGTAAATAACCCAACTAAAAGGTCCTATTAAAAGAATATAGTTCGCTCATGAGTTTCACCTTGTCCTTTTAAAAAATACCTGTTTGACTGAATTTTATCTTAATAATATTTTTTTGCTTATTACAGCTCCGCATATCATTAAAGCATCGTGATAACTTCAGAGATCCCCTGGCTATGCAATTAATACCCCATTCCCAACCCCCAACGAGTTTTTCGATGATCAAGTGGCTCAAAAAACTGCTGCATCTTAAGAAAGAAAAGAAGATAATGCCAAAACCGACTAAAACACCTCCCAAAGTGCCCAACAAATTGAAGGAGAAGAGTACGCTGGGCAAAAAGCAATCGATGGCCGATGATTTGGTACTGGTTATAATGCCAGACCAACTTTATAGGGGTACCGAAAACGCCGCCAAAGCCAAGCTCTATAAACTGGCCGAGAATCGGGTCTCAAAGCAGCGACACCGAAGGCGAAGTCGTCACGAGATAACAAAAGCTTCAATCGAAACCTTCAGAACAGCAATTCCCAGCGAATGCAACAACAATAACTATATTAACAATAATTGCATTCGGAGGCGAAAGGATAAACCCATGAGAAATAGTGTTCGAAATAAACTAGCATCCCTACATGCCGATATGAATGTTCGCTATGAGAAGGAATACGCGCTAACACGTCAGTTATCCGAAAAGTGCCGACTGTACCGATTGCAAAACGAACGGTACAAGGGACCGGAAATGGAACTATCGGTGGGGCAATTGCAACAAAATATAGAAGCTTATGCCGAGGACATCATCAAAACGGAACACGAACTTCTCGAACTGAAGAACGAGATCAGGCACGATATATCGCTGATCAATAACTTAAAACGTCTGACTTTGGAGGAAACGGAGAAAGATACCGCCTGTAAGAAAGGCGTGGTAAAGTTACCACAGCCCTCACAGGATATTGAAAACACCCCTCAAGTTGCTAAAAATACGCAGGAAATGCAGTTTGTTGATAATATTTACGAGTTTTGCGATAACAATGCCAGTATGCTGGTGTAATTGTAAATAGTTGTAATTTGTTAAGTTTTTACCAAATAAATAAACATTTTTTACATTTTTACATATATTCTATTATTATTACATGAGACTGGGAAACGTTAAAATAGTGTTACAATCACTAGCATTGAGCTACAGATTAACGGGCCATTTTATTTGAAACAAAGTTATACAAATGTAGGAGGTTGTTAGATATTTAATCTTCAATATATGTTTCCGTTATTTGATGAAGAAATTACGTACATATATATGTTTTACATATTCGGGAGAAACTATGCAATCGAATATACATATTATAAAATCTAGATTTTAAGCAGAAGTATATTGAATGTAGATTTTTACATTAATTAACAATTCTAAAACTACGTTCGTTATCTTGATAACGGCATTTGTCCTTACGTTATTGAAAACCCCTAAAGGGGTTTGAGTCAAAATAATATCTATCGAAGAACTCCACCCGAGCATTTTTGCCATACCTCAGCTCTGGTCCCATTCAACCCTGGCAGAGAAACAAAAACTCAACAAATTAACAAATTTCCAAGGAAAATCGTCAACAATTTCGGGTATCAAATCACAACAGTTTCTAGACAACGAATTTCACCCAAATCCCAAGGCTGCAGCACCTGCATTTATCACAGGCGACCAAATTTAATCGGGTTAATTAGGTAAGTTAGGATGGGTTGGCAAAGAGAGGCGCAGAACGTGGTCGCGAATTCTCATTTTCGCTTGCGGGGGTGATTTTTTGTAGTTCAGTTTGTCAGGCTAATTTAAATATAAATAATATCTTATCGCTGGAATCGCAGATCGGGAAGTTCATTTCCCCTTTAGATTATCCCCCAAGTCAGGTGCAGGTGGTTGGGGGAAAAGTGAAAGTAACTGCGCTTCTGCCGCCTTTGTCGCAAATCCCGTTTAAGCCTAACGAAAAAAAAACAACGATGATTAATGACATTTTAGCGAACTCTCAATTATAACTCTTCTATTCCCACTTATAGACAAAGAAATGGCACGCGGACACCAGAAGATTCAGTCGCAGGCGAAGGCCTCCGAGAAGCAGGCCAAAATAAAGAAGCAACAAGGACACAGTGCCAACGACCAGAAAAAGGCGGCCCAAAAGGCACTCGTCTTCGTGTGCGCCGTTTGCAAGGTGAGCCAGCTACAGTGGAACCCATGTATATTGAAAACCTGGGCTTGAAAACATCTCTATAGCATTATACAACTACATTTTAAAGATATCGTTTTTTTTTTTTTGTATCGGCATTAAAGAAATTAAGACTACTCAAAAAAGTTTACTTAACTTCTTTGAATTTTTTACCAATTTAATTTTCATCTTTTACTAAAAATGAATATTTTAAAAAATATTATGTCTTACATTTTTTAAATAAATATTTAGGTTAGGTTGATGTTATATTGCCTTGATATACTTCTTACGTTTATGATAACTACTCTTTCTTTATTTTTAATTATAACTATTTGTAGCTTAAATCTAATCTTGTGCCCCTTCTATTTCAGTCTCAAATGCCCGATCCCAAGACTTATAAGCAGCATTTCGAGAACAAGCATCCCAAGAACGACATGCCCGAGGAGTTAAAGGATGTCTGATGACCAATTTGGTCGTGTGCATATATAAATATATCAAGCTGAACGAGATCGACGAGTTGCCTACCATTACGAAATATTTGCAACAATAACTTTACACCAGCCCGAAGAAGAAAACCAACAATCAAGCCGAAGCCAAGAGGATGGATAATAGTAATAATTATATGCCAATTTTTTTGTATACACACTGCTGACTTTTGGTTTTAGTTTATACATTGAAATTAATACAGTAAGCAATTGTTCAATGAATTGCTACCACAATACAAAGCAAGCAACCACGTCGCAAGATAAATAGGAATGTTTTCATTTTCATATTTATTATCCCCTAAAAACAGGAATAAGCCGCAATTAATACTCTGTGCGTCGTTTTGGATTTGGTTTAAAAAGAACATTTTATACAAATTATGCCAGGAATTTGAGGAAACAAATCTTTTTGTACTATAAACAATTAAATAAATCATATAAATGACAATTTATAAATACAATAAAAAATGTTAAAACTAAAATAATATGTTTGTTTGCAGTGGACTACACACAAAAAAAAAACTTGGTAAAATCAACTGTAATAATTGTCAAACAGGCCCCAACCAGCAAAATTGTCAATTCTACTAAGTTAATAGTTATTTCACAACAACAAAATACACATAATTAGCAAGGACACACACCCAAAGCAAAAATGAAGTACACGTAACTATTTTAATAGTTAAGTAACTATCTTTGTTGGTCAATTTTACCAAGCAATTTTTTTTTGTGTGTAGAATTCAAGTTCCAACCCGTCTTTGCTTTTGAAATTTACTAACAACCCCAAAAAGTGGCTAATAATCGAAAATTTTGAACGTTGATCACGGTTTTCTCAAAACTGTGACCTTTCCCTTGCAGCGGGTATAATGATTTCAGTCAGAAGTTTGCAACGCAGTAAAGGAAACGTTTCCGTTTCTACGTAAACTAGGCAACCAGTTTTTAAGCTATCGGGATGAAACTTTCTTAAAAGTCGTATTTCTATTGCAGGTAGTATATTAGTCGGAACCGGCCGGATTGGACAACTACATCTTATAGCTCCCATAGGAAAGATCGGAAAAAATAAAGTAAAAAAAATTCTAGCTTATGTGTTTTTTAAAATATTACCTTTTTCTTGGGAATATTATTTCTCAAACATTTCTGAATTTCGGATTAAATTAAAAGCTGTCATAGGAACGGTCGGAAAATTATATGAAAATTAATATGAAAAAAAGTATATCAATTCTGATTTTTCTTATATATTAAATTTGTCTGGCATATAGCATTTTTTAACATTTCTTTCCTTAATAAAAAACATCCTGACCAGCAGAATTTGCAGGATTGGGATAATGCTGGTAGACCGTTTACGGTATTGAAAACCCCTTGAGGGGTTTGAGTCAACAATAATATCTATCGAAGAACTCCACCCCAAGTCATTGTGGCTGAACATTTTTGCCACACATCAGCTCTGGTCCCATTCAACCCTGGCAGAGAAACAAAAACTCAACAAATTAACAAATTTCCAAGGAAAATCGTCAACAATTTCGGGTATCAAATCAAAACACTTTCTAGACAACGAATTTCACCCAAATCCCAAGGCTACAGCACCTGCATTTATCACAGGCAACCAAATTTAATCGGGTTAATTAGGTAAGTTAGGATGGGTTGGCAAAGAAAGGCGCAGAACGTGGTCGCAAATTCACATTTTCGCTTGCGGGGGTGATTTGTTGTAGTTTCAGTACAGTGTCGTTTCGGACTTGATTTATATTATTAATCTTATCGTTGGAAATAAACACATCGGGAAAATCCTGTACCAGGTACTCCCCGGATAAAAAAGTGAAAGTAACGGCGCTTCTGCGACCTTTGATGTAAATTCCGTTCAAGATGATTAATGATCTTTTCGCAAACCACTTTTACTAAGAATTCTATTCACGTTTGTAGAGAAATGGCACGCGGACACCAGAAGATTCAGTCGCAGGCGAAGGCCTCCGAAAAGCAGGCCAAAATAAAGAAGCAACAAGGACACAGTGCCAACGACCAGAAAAAGGCGGCTCAAAAGGCACTCGTCTTCGTGTGCGCCGTTTGCAAGGTGAGCCAGCGACAGTGGAACCTCTTAAAGTCAACCATTACTGTAGGTCGTACTAAGATTGACTGTTTAAGATACATGACGATGTAGTTTTTCTTGTTGAACTGAAATTGAATTGCAATATTCATGGCTTTTCTATTTAATACTGATTTTGATTTTATCGTTTTTTTTTTTCTGTATCATACAAAATATGTTCGTGATGATGGATATTTAGATAATGTTCTCAAAACAGTTTTAGACCAGGTTAATAACAACAAATATTACAACTTTCCAATTACGCGAAACTACCTGCGGCTTATCTTGACTAAAATGTATTATCCCTACAGCAATTTAATTACTCCATTTACAACTAGTTATCTTCAAAGAAATTATTAGTTAAATCGTAAAATAGCTCGAGTGTAGACTTTTTTAGGAGTAAATGAGAAAATATTTTCGTTGCACTTTTTTGAAATATTAGGCGAAATGAACGTCTTATTCTTAGAACCATTTTCTTGTCTGTACTTTAAATATTTCCCAGTAAATAATAAAAAACAGTCATATAAACTTAGTAATATAAACAGTGTTTCCCACAACTTTCATGTTTATGCGTAATCTAATCAATTGCTTCCTTCATTTTAGTCGCAAATGCCCGATCCCAAGACTTATAAGCAGCATTTCGAGAATAAGCACCCGAAGAACGACATGCCCGAGGAGCTGAAAGAAGTCTGATGACCAACTCTTCCGTGTGCATATATATCTATATCAAGCTGAAACAGATCGACGAATCGCCTACCAGTACGAAACCTTTGCAACAAAAACTCTATGTCCGCCCGACAAAAAATCAACAATTAAGCCGTAAACAAAAGGGTGGATATAAGATATAATAAAACTGCACTGCAAAGGTCCAGCTGAATTTTTTATATACACACTGCTGTCTTTTGGTTTATACATTGATTAAATTACATGACTTAATGGCTACCACAATACAAAGCAACCTACCACATAGCAAAATACATACGTTTGTTTCAATTTTGATATTTATTTTCCCTGAAACACGACAAGCAATTTGAGTCACAATAGTTGCTCGTGCTCTGTTTTTAATTTGGTTTACGAATAACGATTATTACAATATTTTATAGTTTTATATACAATTTATGCCAGAAATGAAAAAAAAACATCTTTTTATACTATAAACGATTGAAAAAATCATGTAAATGAGATTTTATAAATACAATAAAAAGATAAATAATTGTTAAAACTACAAAAGTAATGTTTTTGCTGCAGCAGCATTGTCTTATTGCTAGAGTCTAAATGCAAAGCATCTCCGTCTTTATACTACCAATCGCAGTGATTTACTTTAATTTGATTGTTTTAGTGCTACTCAAAATTTGACAATTTTTAATTTAGGTGTACGTTTTCAATGTGCACAGAAGATCAAGCACATATCGTTCAATAGGTAAAAAAAATGAATGTGTGTTAAGTGGCTATTCCCAGTGTCTCCGACTTCTGTGAAACATTTTCGCTTTCATGATGGTTTTTTTAGTTCTTTGGCTAGACATTCGGCTTCTCTAGATTCTCCTAGAAGTTGACTCGTTTCCTCTTTTCTTTCCGAAGTTTCTGTGGAATAATCTCCTTGTGCGAGCTGCATGAAAACCAAATCGTCTTTGGCCGGAAAATCAGCGAGTACAGTGATACCAATGCTATTATCAGGCAGCGAAGGCGTTTCCTCGTGGTAACCAAACCAATAGATAATGATCCCTGGTCCAAAACTGAAAATATGTGAGTAAGAAAAAGTGAAATATTTAAAATCAGTTGGTTTAAAACCCTTACCGATTGCAGTAGCTATGGAGCTGCTGTTGGATGTTGAACTTGTGTCCCTTGGTGTCCCCGAAATTGGCCTTGCTTTCGATCCAGTTGATCACTGAGCCCCTGTAAAGGAACGGCAGGATCATTTTGATGTCCGGCGTCTTGTCATAGCCCATCCGCCGCAAGTCGTGCTCGTCATAAAAGTGGATACCCGCCTCCGTGGCCAGAGTTTTCAACTTTAGTTCGTATTCCTCGCCGATGATGCGTCGTCGCAGGTCCGTAATGGATCCCTCCTGATTGTCGCTGATCATGCACTGTTGCACATTGGCCGCCAGCTTGGGATCGTCGATGAGGTGTGGGTGCTTCAGAAACCGTGAGATGTGCGAGCGGTGGCGCACCTTGTACTTCTCTTGCAACAGCATCCGGCAGAGCGCCACGGGATTGAGGCCCTCGACACAGGACATCCGGATAAGCAGGGCGTTGTCGTAGAGGTTCTTCTGCTCCTCGTAGCTAAAGGCAAGAAAATATGCTTAATATTGGTATAAATATATATTTATATATTTAAATATCCGTCAAGTCACTAGACACTAGTGTAAAATACGTATAATCTGGAGAGTTTACGGAACAAAAATTATGTTACATTAAGTAAATCTCTTAAAATCGAAGGTAGATTGGCAGAAATAACCACTACCTATTTATATATCCTCTCTCGTCTTGAAATAAATTAAAACAAAAAAAATTTGAAGTTGCTCTCTAAAAAAGAATTGCACTTCAAGATTTGCATATTAAGAGCAAAGCCCAGAAAAGGACTTCAGGACTTGTTTTCTCTGCTGCCTTACATTTTGAGGAGCTTCTTGCCCCGCTGATCCTGCTTCCAGTGTTGACCCCGCGACCTGTTGAAGAGCTCCGACTGAAGGATGCATGTCAGGGCCATCGGCTCCACGTCCTTGAAGAAGCGGTTCCTCAACTCGAACTCACAGTCGATGGGCAAACCGTGGTAGCCGTTGATGAACTGGCAGATCCGCGTATATTCCCCGCCACTCAGGATCTTCCGTTTCTGCTGCACATTTCCGCCGGCCAAATCCGGGGCGTGGGACATTTTTTACGGCCCAAAACACAAACTTATTCCAATAAAAGTAGGAAAGAGCGCCAGAATAAACAGCTGAGCGGCGAGTGCTAATCGAATGCCTTTCTTTATCGATTGTACAGGGATATTAATTTAATATCGATTGTTTCTTTGCCAGGCAACAGGGTGTTCACACTGCCGCCGCTGATGCAAAATGTTAAGCAAAGCCTTAAAGGCGAATAACAAATACCCCCATTACTCGATGAGGAATATTATTTAGGATATCATAAAGACATTTAGGTTTTCGAATCCCAAATAAACTAGAAAGCAGGAATCTTAACCAAAACAGCGTTACAAAAATATGTGAAAAATAACACATTATACAACATGTGCATTATTTATGTGAGAAGTAAGAAAAGGGCATTACGCTTAACATGGAACACGAAAGTATCGATAGCAAAGCAGACTTTTTACATCTCTAATGAATTTCGAAGAGTAAACAATTTGGTTTAAGGAGTTTTAAAGCTGGCTAAATATTACCCAAATACAAACGTAAGAAAATACTCTTCCATTTTAGTTGACAAATATATCAAGGTTAATAAATTCCAGAGTAATGGAGTCGTCAATTTGCCGGGTTTGCCTGCGAAATGGCGACAACATGGTCAAAATATTTGACGAGAGGCATGCAGTTGGAGTTCCCATTGCAAAAATGATTTCCAAAAGTACCGGCTTTAAAGTTGAAAGAGATGATCGACTTCCGGAAATAATTTGCCCATCCTGTCTGAAAGATGCCGAAAATGCTTTCGAGATAATGAATGCCTACGAGAGGAGCACCCTGTTCTTCTGCCAGTTAAAGAAGAGTAAGGATTCACTACAAAGTGGCGCACATCAGGGTGTTAAGGTTAAGGAAGAGGTGTCCGAAGACAGAGCCCACTGCCAAGTGAAGAACGAACCTCTTATAGAGGACAGGTTTGAAGAGGAACTCGGCCCTATTTTAGACAGCCTGTCCAGTTTCGAAGAAAAAATCGATGTGGCGGAAGAAGGTTTACAAAAGGAAGTTGTAGGAAACTCCAAACGCAAATATCCATGCCGTTTTTGTTCAAAGACATTAATCAATAAATTATCTCTTAGGCGGCACTTACGGGCGCACTCAAGCAATCAAGTATTCAAATGTTCCCACTGTGAGATGTTCTTTGGACAGCGAGCAACTTTAAAAAGACACTTGGTAGTCCACACAGATCGCAAATATTTCAAGTGTACGCAATGTTCAAAGAGTTTTTTGGAGAAGAAACGTCTTGACCTCCATTTGGAAAAACACATAAAAGGACGCATAAAAGCATTCAAGTGTTCTTACTGTCCAAAAGCTTATGTCAAAGACTCAACTCTTCAGAAACATTTGACAATTCACACAGAAGAACGGACACATAAATGTTCCCAATGTTCAAAGGCTTATGCCCAGTATTCACATCTTCAGAAACACTTGAAAACCCACCTAAAGTGTAACCACTGCTCAAAGGCCTTTTCATCTAACTATAGACTTAAGATACACCAGCGAAGACATACAAACGAAAGACCGTTTGAATGCACCCAGTGCCCGAAAACATTTAAAACTAAATCTGATCTCAGGACTCACCAGCGAATACACACAGGAGAAGGACTGTTAAAATGTACTCATTGCATGAAGAGTTTTACGACCGTTACATGTTTGCAGGTGCACTTGCGAACACACACAGGCGAGAAACCGTTCAAGTGTTCCCACTGCTCAAAGGGTTTTACACAGCAAGCAGGTCTTATGGCACACATACGGACGCACACAGGCGAAAAACCTTATAAGTGTTCCCATTGTTCAATGAGTTTTACAGTGGCCTCGAATCTTTGGAGTCACATACGTACACACACGGGCGAAAGACCGTTCAAGTGTACTCATTGTTCAAAGAGTTATATCCATAAGTCCAATCTTAATGTACACGTGCGATCCCACGAGGGAAAATGACACTCAAAAAAGCCACTATGACTATATGTGCACGATGATTTTAGCAATGTGCAAGATACCGTCTCAATAAATATAAATATGTATATATATATCATTTAGTAGACATTATTAATTATCAGGGATTTCTCTGAGGAATTCGCGGTCGCATTGGGTTAAAAATTTATGTATGGTTTTAATTGGTTGGCACTAACAAATTTCAGTACACATTTTTTTTTAGCATACGCCCCTGAATATAATAGATATGGGCACTTCCACCAAAAGGTCGACCAAGCATTTCACAGCGACATGTTTGAACAACATTCTAAAAACATCGCATTCAAATATACCATCAGAATTCGCTCATTTCTGGTGTTGTATGAACTTCCCCGAAATCCACTTCTATATTTGTCCCGAGCGAATACGGCAGTTTTTTACCGATATCTTAAAAACTAAAAGTGGTACAAAATCAAGATTTTTACAAAAAATAGAGCTTGGGAAGAGTGAAAAGAAAAGCCCATAATTAAAATTAAAATCCATTGTTTTACAATTTTTTTTCAACTTTAAAGGTGTGCAAATGTCCCGAGCGACATTTTGGAAGTGCCCATATATAATTTAATAAAGGTTGAACAAAAATTTTTCCTCGACCAATTTAAAAATTATTTCAAAATTGCAGCTTCGGATCCAGGATTTGGTCGTGGGAGAGGTTTTCAGAACAAACTTCTTGTTGCATATTTTGTAAATAACACATTTTTCAGTCGAATGGGGGGATTTATCCCCCAAATTCCAAATGGATCCCTTTAATATTTACATATTTGCCAAAATTTTTATACTTGTATGAAGATTTTTATTTCGTATGCTTTTTGTACTGGGGTTATTATAAGCGTTTATTTTTTTTCGATTAAAATTATAAAATATTTATTTTCGGTACCAGGTTATTATTGTTGGTGAAGTTCCAGTAGTGACGAAGTAGATAATTAGCCGATAACTAGCCTGGTAAGATTTTTGAAGACAGAACTTGATTGTCAGAAGATTATTACTACAAAATCAAAATACCTACTGGACGTTTACCGTTATCGTTATTTATGTTCATATACCGACATAATTACACAGGCCGACAAAATGTGACATGGGTCGATGTCCAGGCCTGCCACCATTTTATTTCGATAAATGAGGCTTTTCTAAGCATAAGTTGCCACTACGCCTATAGTCCATTAGCTCTGGTATTTGCGGTATCTTTAATTTAAGAAAATCACAAAATTTCTTCGGCTTTTGGGATATATCTTCAATAGTGGTCAACCAATTTTTGTAATCTTTTCGGAATTAAATAGTAACATATCATAATTCTAAACGATCTAAGTAGTTTTGCTTTGAGTATAAGCACATGAGCGTAGCCTACTAATCTTTGGGGGCTGAAATGCTTGAAGTGTAATCCCCCTCCAGCTTTTAACTTACGCCCATGTATAAATATTTTTAAAGCAAGGGTCACTTGTGCTCAAAAACAGTTATGAGTTACGTAAAATAGTGACAGGTTTGGGCACTGTTTGTGAATCGTCACTGTGAAGGAAGGAAGAAAAACAATTTTAAAAATTCCAAAACAATTCACAAAAACCTGATGAGTGTCCTAAAAATTAAGGACATAAGGTGTCTTTGGATCAAAAATGCATCGTAGAAGAAAATATTTTTATTTAATTTTTAAACGCTGTTCACAAATGAAGATTTTTAAACTTTGCTGTGACTTTAAAATTTTGAATGCGCCCACCTCCTCTTGTGGTTGAGTTAGATTAAATTTTCCAAAACGACCGTATAAAAGGGACATGTTACTATTTAATTCCGAAAAGATTACAAAAATTGGTTGACCACTATTGAAGATATATCCCAAAAGCCGAAGAAATTTTGTGATTTTCTTAAATTAAAGATACCGCAAATACCAGAGCTAATGGACTATAGGCGTAGTGGCAACTTATGCTTAGAAAAGCCTCATTTATCGAAATAAAATGGTGGCAGGCCTGGACACCGACCCATGTCACATTTTGTCGGCCTGTGTTATTAAACTGCATTGATATGTTGAAATGAAACTAATTTTGAGCTTAATTTCGATATATTTTATTATCATATATCCTTACACATAGCACGGGTTTATGATCAACTTTAAGATTAACACTTTTTCTATTATTTTCGTTAAGCACGTATTTTTTCCACTCAATACAACTATTAATTGTTATTGTTTAATTATGCATATAGTGTGTGGTATGCGAATATTTGTATGTGTGTTCAACATTCACTTAGACCGACATATTATATAAATAAGCTTGGTTTTTGTTTTGTAAATGCTATTCTTATTTATTATTTGGAAGCAAAGTTCATTCCCATTTGCTTGATTTAACAACAGTGTATAAAATAATGACAAATGTGCACAATAAAATAAACTAAATGAGATTCAAAAGCGTATAATAAATAAAATTTTGGAAAATAAATAATTTATTAATATGTGTTGGTGTAAAAATGCAACATACTAAATATGTTGTTGTTGGGAGACTCATGTTCGTCTCGCTTATCTAGGAAATTATTTCGAGTTGGTTCCTTCAGCTCGATGGTCAAACTTGGTTTAACAACAATTATTCTTAAAACGTGACCTCTTTCCGACTGAACGTTTTCACCGGCTTACGATCTAGGAGTAACAATATTAAAATTTATTAGCTTAGTGTTGATCTTACGGCTATGTAATTATTAATTTTACTATTGAAATTTTTGTTTGGGCTAGATCTAACTGTTTCGAAAGTGTTCAGCTTGGTGGTTTTTCAAGCTGTACATTCATTCTCATGAACTCTTTAATTGTTCTCTTTACTTGATACTATATCGTATAATTGTTGAAGACGATTCCAAAAGTCGCTTTAAAGTGGATTGACTAAACATCTAATACAGCATTAAGTTGGTCGATCGAAATATTGCACCACTGTGATGTCTTATTTCTGACAAACTTTCTTGAATTGATTTCTTAAGGCTAAATTATGTTAATACCAATTTGTTACTTGACTTTCGAGCTCATCGTCTAAAGATTTACAACTAATCGAATTTTATTTTATTTTATAATTTAGTATTTGATTCTGTTTTTATTTCGAAAGAAGGCATGGTTATGAGCTAGCGATTTCCATGAAATTCCACCAGCAACATTTAGATATTAAGTTTTTAATAAAATATACTTGCTTAAGATAGAATAATGTATAATTACGAAGTGATGGGGATGAGTGATTGCAAGTGAAGGGGAGAGAAGGGAAATGCTAACTCTAATACTATTCTGGGAAAGTCTAACAAACACGCGCTTCAGGCTCTACCAAATAAACAATTAACAATTAATACAATGCGATTATGCTGCTAGACAATGGGGTGAAAGGGCTTTAGTTGATTAGATTTGGCTTCGATTGCGGTTATTGTTAGTAGAAATGCGGCGGCGGCAACGTTTGCGAGGGCAAAGTCGTCGGCTGCTGCTCCCATCAGACAACAGAATCCTTGCGAATCCTGAATTCGTTAGCATGTGTTCGGGGGGAGAAAGAGACAAGACAACAATATTTCATCAGCAACGGAAGTTGGTTAGGAGTTGGAATAGCTTCAGGGATTTTGTTGCTTAAAACTGTTTTCGCACCACATATAGTTCTCAGTCTGAGGGGCCCGCATCACGCCCACGCCGCCGCCCAGTCGGCGGTAGTTCATGCAGCCGCACAAACGCCATTGGTTCGTCTCTGGGTCGTAGACCTCGATGGTTTTCAAATAGGCGGACCCATCAAAACCGCCCACCGCATACAGTTGTCCATTCACGACGGCAAGGCCAACCTGCAACGACACATTTCATTGATTTGAATACAATTCGGGGCGAATAAGTAAATAAATATAAGCTCACCCCACTGCGACGCGAGGTCATGGCCACAATGGGGCTCCAGGTGTTGGTCAGTGGATTGTAGCGCTCGGCGGACGAGAGCTCCATGCAATCGTCCCGTCCGCCGACGGCGTAAATGTAGTTATTGAACACAGCGCAGCCCAGGTGCTTGCGTCGCGTGGACATCGGGCTGACGGCCACCCATTTGTTGTGTCTAAAATAATTAAATCAGGGCATTTTAAATCAATTCGGGTAGTGAGTTAATAAATACTATTTATCAGGGACCGTAATCATTATAAGCGATATTCAAAAAACTCAGAAATAATCATTATTTATGAATTTTATAAATATGTATCAGAAATAATCATTACATGTGAGCGAAAAAAATATCGCTTACAAATAATTATTATTTTGTGATAATATCAATTAAAAATAAAAAAAAACCGTGATCATTGCGGATTTGAAAAGGTTATCTAAAAAGTAACCAAATGGTGCATTCCATTTGGTTTTCCGACTATTATAAGTGACTGATTTTTAGGTACAAAAAATTAAAAAATAATGATTATTTTCGGTCCCTGCCATTTTTACAAAGTTAACGATTAAATGCAGCATAGAAACCATGATTTTATTTACCTGGGATCGTAACGCTCCACGGTGTTCAACGGGCACTGTCCATCGGAACCACCAATGGCATAGAGGAATCCTCCGAGGACGGCTACCGCCACACCCAGCCGTCGTGTGGTCATCGGGGCCACTTTGGACCATTTGTTCTCCTTCGGATCGTACCGCTCCACGTGATTCAAGCACTGGACGCCATCCTGGCCGCCAACCGCATACAGGAAGCCGTCGAGCACAGCCACGCCCACGCTGGTGCGGCAGGAAGTGGTAGGAGCCACGTCGCAGGACCACTGATTCGTTTGCGGATCATAACGCTCGATGCTGTTTAAATAGCTCTGGCCATCGTGGCCGCCCACCGCATAGAGTAGATCATTCAACACGGCCACGCCGACTCCGCAGCGTCGTTTGCTCATCGGGGCGACCATTTTCCAGTCGTTGGTCTGCGGATCGAAGCGCTCCACGGAAGCAATGGCATCGCCGGAACACCATCCGCCCACGGCGAACAGCACTTCACCTCGGCGAGTGGGTTTGCGAGGTCTGGTGCGCGGACCCTGCATCAGCGGTCGCTCCTGCGGAAGCAACAGATAGTTCTTGGCCTCGTCCACCAGATCCCGGCAGGCCTCGTCGCTGCGCACCAGGAGATCAGAGCCCACCGTGCCCACCAGGAACTTTGGAGAGAGTAGCGGCAGACGGACATGTTGGAGAACCTGAAAGAAAGCCACAATAATATTAATTATTATTTATTTGGGACTCAATCAATAACACTTTTAGTAGAGCCCTGCGTGAATCATTCAATTTTTGTTTTATCATAGTATGCCATGAAATTTCAGATTATTTTAATTCAGTTCTATGTGAAAGAAATTTAATGTTTTTCTAATTCATTTCGAATTGAATAAATGAATGATTAATTTTTATGAATTTGCCAGATTTTCTTTGTGATTTCTTTTGAGAACAAAAAGTGGAAAATTTAGTAAATAAAATTCAGGCAGATTTAATCACAAAATTATGGGCCTTCTTCTTCAAAAGAAATTGTCCTTTGAATTATTTCGGAAATTATGCCATTCATTCATTCAATTCTATTAAACTCAAATTTCTAATAAATTGAATTCTATTTAACTCAAAATTCTTATTAATTCATTCATATAAAACAAAAAAATCAAAATAATTCATTGAATCCATTCATGCAGGGCTCTAATATGTAGGTATTACAAATCAGTGGAAAGTGTTTTGAATAGCTCAAAACTAGTTTACTTGCTCACCTGTGCCAGGTGCTGCCGCCGTTCGGCGACATTGTACTTAAGCCAGGACATGACCGCGTTAAAGACCTGCTCTTCCGAGCGCACGTTCAGCTCGTCGCTGCAGATGATGTCCACCAGCTGACCGACGGGCAACAGCAGGAACTCCTCGCTCTCCATCACCTCCTGGAAGTTGTGCTGCGTGAACTTGTCGGCGATCCGCAAGAGCTCCCGGCAGGAGTGCGTGTCGGCAAAGGCGCGGATGCCCAGGCAGTTGGTGGGGTCCAGTTGCCGCTTGAGGAACTCGCAGCATATGTCCTGAATCTCAACCAGTTGCAGCAGACAGGCGGCGGGCAGGAGTGTCTGGACATTGGACTCTTCGACGATAATGTGGGCGGTGTAGCAAAAATCAATGAGCAGCTCCATGGCGTTCTCGTCGATGTCCCGTATGGTAACCTCCGTTTGGCGCGATTCCTCCAGTTCGCCGGTGAACATGGCACAGAAGTAGGAGCTGCAGGCGGACAGGATGACCCGATGGGCGAAGATCTTCCGTCCGCCCACGTTCAGGACCACATCGCAGAGCTCCCGGTGGCGGCGCAGCATATTGAGTTCCGTGAGCGTGACCTTCGGATGTTTCTCGGACGTGTGGGAGAGGCGGGCGGGCGACGGGGGTCTGTCCACTGCCGTCGATCCAACGGAGGAGCCGCCACCAGCCGTGGAATTACCTGTTCCGGTGACAGCTGATCAAGAAAAAGGATGAAAATGACTTTGAGTTAGAAAAATTTCATATATTTTATTGTTATAGAAATGATCTAAATAATAATAATACAAGTTCGAGAGAGAAGTACAAGCAAAGAAGTTAGACTTTTACTTTGACAATCGACCATTTTTCATCAACAATTGGGAATTTTTACTATAATTTTTTTTTTGACAAAATATGAAATATGGTTGATTATTTCGGCTTACTTACCAGCATCCCGTGGTTGGGCCGTGGAGCCCGATCCCGGCAGGTCGCCCATTCTGTTCGCTGCTAAGCGCAGCGGGCCGGAAGCAACCCAACCCCACACGGCGTCTATCTGCAGGTCAAATGGAAGTTTGGTCATTAATTAAATGGTAAACGATAATAAATTGCGTGTTAACATCAAGAGGTTGGCTGAATTCCATAATTACTGGATTGTGGATGGGAATCGATAAATATCTTATATCTTCCACATTTCACCCAAGCCGTATTAAGTGCAGATCGTAGTACAATAACTTAATTCTGAATTTCCTGGCACATTTTAAAACCTGTTACTTGAAGTATTTTATGGTTTCCTATCTCGGGAACTTTAAAAGAGTTACATTTTGGTTGATAAACTTGATTTACCGACATTAGATATGAAATTTTAATTAATAATTTTAATCTTGATTAGTTTTATCTCTTTTCAAGCGACTTTTGAACTGCAAGCAGTTACGGACCATTGACCATAGCATTACTTCATTTTAAGGATAAAACTTATCAATATTTTTCCAAATTACATGTACAAGTTGTTTAGTAAAATCATTAAAGATATTTAGCTTTATTAAACTTCACTATTTCGACACTGGAGGGGTGATTCTGATTTATTTTCCTTTTCCTCCACAAACTTTTGCACCGCCCACACATAGACATGCTATGTAAAACGCACACACATTCATTCTTTCGAATCCATGGACATTAAGGTGAACCTTTGGTTTATTCAAGCTTTTTTAGCGAACAAACTATCTTTAACGGTGAATCAAAACTAATATTGAACATAATTTGTGAAAAATTAAGAAGTATTAAAATTTTACTTATAAAGGCTAACTAAAATCGAAAATTCTTTTGGTGTTTTAGTTTTTAAACTAGTAGAATATTTTTAAAAATTTTAAGAAAGTAAATCCGATTACGGCTACAATAAAATTGTTTTCCCTAGTTCTATAGAATCTTTATATTATTATTATTTTCATTAAAAATGTATTCAATCCTAAAACGATGATTTTAGAGTTTATTATTATGGGGACCACTCTACTGGTACACCTTTAAACTTGGATGTCAACCTGGTCCACCTTAAAGCACGGACACACACACGCGTGGACGATGTTGGTTTAGATGTCGATATGTATGTAGGTGTGGAGGTGGGTGTCCCAACCTTTGCGTCTCTGTTCTCCACGGATACAAAGCACGTCCAGGGCCAGCTGCAGGCGGAAAATTTCGAAAATGCAATCTTGCTGCTGGCTTAAAGCGACCACATCGAAGATTCCTTGCGCGAAAAGCACTTTTCAGCAGGGAAAATCGTTTTTTTTTGGGCCTGGAAAAGTCGAAACACACGATTGGTACTAGAGATGTGAAAAATATGTGATGTAGCCATATATCGATATTTCTCGATTAAAATTTCGTTGAATATTTTTCCACCATAATATCGATATATATATTTCAGCAAAAATAAAAGTTAAATCGGTTATACAAGTTAAAATCGAAATTGAAAACTAGGTCGACTAGAAAATTGTTAAAAAGTTTTTAATAAAAACTATTTTGAATTTGTTGTTTTTTAAATATCTAAAGGCTCCATGGTTTAAAATATAATTTAAAATTTATTTTAAGAGTAAATAATTCGTAAACGCCTACCAGAATGTTGCCGAGTTATCATGGCTTTCCAATGACTAAAACAAGTCTGGTTTTAAATGATTTAATGAAAATTTAGTTCATTTGGAACAACTGATCTAAAATGAACAACTCCATTCAGGGAATACCCTAACTATTTCTATTAGAGATGGATAAACATCGATAGTACTCATTTCGATACCCTCGTTGTTCGTGAGTGGTTTTCCCAGATCTAATTTCTATACGCGACGCTGACGAGACGAGGAAGGCAATTTTCGAGGAGTTGAAAAGCCCGTAATATAGTGCAAAATAGTAACTAAAATTAAGTGCAACGTGTAAATAGATAAAAAACGGATCGCGACAAGTTCTCGAGCGACTAATTCGAGATTGAAAAGTGGAAAGTACGTGAATAGGGCGAGAAAAGAAAACGCAAAACGTGAGGTTGTGTGCGTGCGAAGAGTTTTCCGTCTCCCTCGCACCAAAGTGGAGCGCACTCAATTATTTTGTGGATGGAGTGGAACAACAACAACAACAGCAACAATAAAAACGACGACACAGCAATAACAGCAACAACAAACACTAATGCAAATGCAGAAAATGTTAAGGAAATCACAAAGAGAGCGAAAAGCGAGAGAACAATAGCGAAAGCGTTAGAATGTAATGCAATCGATGCATTAAAATTAAATAGAGTACAAGTACAGCAATTAAATTGGAAATTCAAATTCGTGCGACAAAAGCGGACGATTGCAGAAATTTTCGAAACTTGGCAGCCATATTTACTACAAAAACAACGCCGTTGTAAAAATACGTGACAAAACGCTTACACACACACATACACACGACGTACACCCACACGCTCGCACATAAAAGAGAGAGGGAGAGAGAGAGAGAAAGAGAGACGCGAACGTGAATTAACAAACAAACAAAAATATTTTGCGATAAAGACAAACACAAAAAAATTCAATAAGTGTATTACATAAACAAACAGCGCCGATATCGAAATATTATGGAAATTGCACCACTGATCAATAACGCCGTCGCTGTCGTCACAGCCTCTGCCGTCGTCGCTGCCTCCGCCTCTGCCAACGCCAACGCCACGCTCAGCAGCAGCAGCAGTAGCAGCAAGGAGAATGATAACGGTAAGCGGGGCTCCAGATGATAAGCGCCACAAATAAGTCCACAATAAAAATATTTGGAATAACTATAAACACAGTGGGTACTCCACAAATTGCAAATTATTCAATAAAAAACTCCTCTCTGTAGATTGTGCTTACCCCAATTTTCATTTACAAATGTAAATTGGTCTTTAATTTAAATTTCCCTAGGAATGGATGTATTTTGTATTAGTATTTTCATTTTCTAATCTTAAAACAGGGGACTTCACAATGTACAATTTTGAAAAGAAGTTTTTTCTCATTCCGTAACTACATTAAAGAGGCATTAATTAAAATTTTTTTAAAACGTAGTAAAATTATAATTCTTACTCGTTCTCAAATTATAATATCCAATTTTTAATTTGAGTATTTCATACAATTCGGGAATAGTACGAGTACGTCAACTATTAGATACACGTTACTCATCTAAAGGGAAATGAAAATGTACAGTTGTTAAAGCTACTGCGCCATCTAGTGGCTGTTTTAATTTTTGCTCATAACTTTTTAATTGATTCTAAATTTTCTTCTACATTTCGATATTTTATTGGCGATTACACTTTTAAAAAATCTGTTAAGATGTGGTCGCCAGGATTTTTATAAAATTCCATCAAGACGATTGTGGGCGTTAGACTGGCTGAAACAAGCTTTCTCTGCGTAGGAAGCCCAAGAATATAATTGGTTAGTCCCAATTTTCTAGCTTTTGTATTTTCCGAGATCTCAACCTGTTCTACCTGTTACATACTTTTTGACGACTACAATATACCCTTTTACTCTACGAGTAACGGGTAAAAATGCGTAGAGAAGCATACATATATAGGAACATCTTTATTCAATTTAATTATTGCTTCGTTCAAGTCAAGTAAAGGACTACGATTACCTAAATAATGCAGAGTTCAATCTATAGAGGCCGGACTGTGGTACTCAGTATACATTGCACAAATAGCCACCCACACCAGCTAGTGTGCATGTGCATGTTGCAACACTTTTCAACGGAGGTCGCTGAACTGCACCGTGTGTTTTTTCAATTGTTTTTTTTAGAGGCCAAGCGAACGGAGTACGACAGCCATAGCATAGTAATAGTAGTAGTTTCGCCTTTGTCTCGCTGTTTGTTGTTGCGCAATTGGCAGCGCAGATAGATCATTGGCCAGGCGATTGCGATTACTCAGCAGTTCCTCAAGGTGCTCCAATAGCATTTGCCTCAAATTCCTAGACAGCTTGGCAACCAATAGTCAAAGAGGTTATTTTTAGGCACTTTACAGTTGGTGCTTGTCGAAGTAATTAATCTTGTAGAAAGTCCAGAAGATATCTAAAAAGTATGAAAATGATTATTTCTTTAAAACCTAGTTAACGTACATAAACTGTTTTTTGTTTTAGATAAAATTTATAATGCATGTACTGTCTGGAAAATAATTAAAAAATCCAATTAGTTGAATCCTAATTATCATCTTGGGGAAATATTTTAGATAAGTTACCTTAAGACATTGTTTTAAAAAAATGGAAACCTTGTGGGACTAATCCCTTTTCAAATGAGTACTTCTTATCCTACCAATTTTAAATTTACTAAAACTACAGTAAGAATTTTATATACGAATAGAGTTTACAAAAAAAGGATCAAAGATGCGTCTAGCATAAACAATTATATAATAACACATTCACAACCTTTAAATAAAAATTACTCTTCACTTTATAAATTTTCATTTTGTTTGTCATGGTTTCTTTTTTTTTAACAGACTTTAAATACTTGAAAATTTCGATTTCATTTCATTACCTATGCTAAAAATAGAAATGTTATTGTAGTCAACTGGAGAGACATATCTGAAATCTTGGTGCCTTTGACACCGCCGAGGGTCACATAAAAAGTGAAATCAGAAAATCAGACGAGAAATAGATACCTTTGAGCGGTTTTTGTAGTTCCATTACCTCGGGGTGTTTTTATTATTTTTACTATCAATTTCTTGGTGTTGTGTGCTTATCTCCAAGTGTTTGTTTTTTTCTATTTCAAGTCAACAATCTGGCGCTGCTCGCTTCGCTGACGTTACAAAAAGTGCTAAATATCAACAATAACAATAACCAGCACAGCAATAACAACAACCGTAGCCACAGCAGCGATATCAAGCAACACGAGCAGCAACAAAAACAACAGCAACCACAACGACGAAACCTCGATATTAAGAGCGAGAATGATGTATTAAACCAATTGCTAAAAACTGGAGCAGTTTTCACCAAAACCGTCACGCCCACAGCGCCCATTCCCATCGAGAGGAAGAAGCAGTCGCATCAGCAGCAGCAGCAGCAACTTCAATATGCCCAACAGCAACATCATCAGCAACAGCAGCAATGCAGCGCACAGAAGCAACGCCTCAACTCATCCATATCATCGACCCACTCATCGACATCAACGAACTCATCCTACGGCAGCTCATCCTCGGAAGATGCTGCAGCTGCAGCTGCATCTGCAACTGCAACTGCCGCATTGACAACATTAACACCAAGAACAAACACCACGAAGGCGTCCAGCATTAAGTTGCCAGAGAAATCGAAAATTCCGTCCGATATACTTGATGATCTGGCCAGTCGGTTTATAATCAATGTACCGGACATGGAGCTGAATAATCTAATACGAATGTGTTTCCAAATTGAGCTGGCCCACTGGTTCTATTTGGATTTCTTTTGTGCCCCCGAAACTGGCGACGATGGCGAGACCCCGAAATGTGTCCAGCGAAAGCTGCCGACGGTGGGCATCAAGCAATTCGCCATGCAGTTGTTCCAAGTGAGAATTTGATTATTTTCTTTAAAAAAAATATCTGTAACCCATGCTTTTCCCATCAGCACATTCCCTTTTTGAACAAACACTTTGGCACCGTGGATCAAATCCTGGACGAGTGGAAGAACTACAAGCTGTCGGTGCCCACATATGGAGCTATTTTGGTGTCCGAGGATCACAATCATTGCTTGCTAGTGCAGTCCTACTTCGCACGCAACTCATGGGGATTTCCCAAGGGCAAGATCAACGAGAACGAGGATCCAGCCCATTGTGCCACGAGAGAGGCAAGTCGGGAATAGAATTATTTTAAAAGGATAACGTAGTTTAAAAGCCTTTATTGAGTAGTAGAAAATCAGGTTCCAAAAATATTACATTTAATTAAAATTACGTTTTTAAATTATTATTTCTCAATTGATTAATATTAATTGAAGTGTAAAGAATTCAGAAATATGACCACTAGGTTCCAAAATTTTTTGTAGTATATTCCTCCGGATAATTATAAATGTGCATAAAGTTAGCAATGCAACTTTTGAAAATGCAATTTTTTTCTATCGACAATTTGCCGTTACTTATCCGTAATTATTCGTAAAAGAAAAAAATTTGCCGCTCAATTATTTTTAAAATTATGAGACACCCACACTAAAGTTCAAAATTTCCAAAATCTTTTTAATGGGAATTTGCCGTTATTTTGCCGTAAATTATTCGTGAAAGAAAAAATGTAGTTGCTCTTGCTTTAAAATTTTTGTTTTTTTAAACATAGTTGTTCTGCTAAGTTGATTAAAAGAGTTTTCCATAAAGATCGAATTCAATTAACTTCCTTGCTCTCTTGCAGGTTTACGAGGAAACCGGGTTTGACATTACGGACATCATCGATGCCAACGACTACATTGAGGCTTTCATCAACTACCAGTACACGCGGCTGTACGTGGTGCGAAACATACCGATGGACACGCAGTTCGCGCCCCGCACCCGCAATGAGATCAAGTGCTGCGACTGGTTCCGCATTGATGCGCTGCCGGTGAACAAGAACGATGCCATATCGAAGGCCAAGTTGGGCAAGAACTCCAACTCCTTCTTCATGATTATGCCGTTTGTGAAGCGCCTGAAGAAGTGGGTGAGCGAGCGGAAGGCGGGAATTGAACCGCGTCGTCGCAAATGCTCCGGCCAGCAATCGCCGAAAGCGTCCACCTCGCCCACCAACATGAACGGCAGTTGCAAGAAGGACGTCGCAGGAGAGTCACGGCGTCAGAGACACAAGTCAATGGGGGATTTGGATGGTGTCAAGTTGAATAATCTCAATGGCAAGGTGGCCGCTGGACCGGGAGCGGGACTAGGAGCGGCTCCCGCTTCCGCCGCCGCTGCCATCAACTCTATGAACATTTGCAATAGTAATGGGAAACGCAATAAACTAAATGCGGCTGCGGGCAGCAATCAAACAACGCCACTAACAACAGCAACAGCAGTGACATCAAATGGAGGCGGCACAATATCCTCGAAGCGTCAACTGTTCCATAGCCAAAGTCAGAATGATGCACAGCAATCGGCAAGCAATGAGAAGGTGAGTTTTGGCAGTGTTTTTTATTAAAATTAATTATATAAATCCCTCATTCTTTGGCAGATTGTCAGCTCCTTTGATTTGATACGCAAGGAGAAGCAGCAACAACTTAAGGCAGCTAAGGCGCAGAAGCAACAGCAGCAGCAGCAGCAGCGATTGCGCACCAAGTCCCAGAGTGACAAGCAGTACAATCCACAGCAGCCAGTCAAGATCCTGGGACAGCAGCAACCCACAACGGGCATGGATTTGATAGCTATGCTATCGGCTGCGGCCGCAGCTCAAAAGACACCAAAGAACGAGCAGCAGCAGCAGCAGCAACAACGACCGCGACCAGCTTCGGTGTCGCTTAACTTTGGAGCAGGCAGTGCCGCAGGAGCCGCACCATCTGCTCCGGATGCCCAAGACGTGCACAAGCTGCAGCGCATGGCCTCGGGCACTAATTTGAGGATTTTGAAGCGGGCCCAATCGCAGCAACCGCAGCAGTTGCAACTGCAACAGCAACAGCAGCAGCAGTTGGGCACCGACTTTACGCCAAACTTCAATTCGTGGACGAATTTCTCTTTCACCAAGAACTTCATAGCAAATGTGTTTTGCTAAACTTTACCTTGAGTCAATATCTTCCTTTCAAAATTCTCAATCAATGCATTTCCCAGCAAAAGACCAGGTTACCGGGAACACCGAATAGTTTAGCAGGCTCTGTGCAGTATGGGAACTCGCGCTTTGGGGAACAGAAACTTTGGAGACTTGCCAGAAAATGAAAGCATGCCAATTGCATTTAACAAGTTCATTTGTTATAAAACTAACACTACAACTACCAACACTATAGACAACTAATCATGTCTAGTCCTAGGCTTTGGAGACCATGTATGAAAGTAACGTTTCCCGATCTCTACACTGGAGGTTTAACTTTTCCACACACACATATTCTGCGTTAGGGAACTTCAAGCACACTCAAACTCAAAAATTGAATGCGATCAATTGTATAGACATTTTTATTACGAAAAACAACAAGAATTTCATACCAAAAACTAAAACAACAAGAAAAAACGAGAGTCTTCCGCTCAGCACATGTAAGTAATATTTTGTAAAAACACTGCAATCGCTGTTCGACACTAAGATCAAAGTGAGATCGAACAGATTGAGTATAATTATGTTAGAATCCTTCCTGTATAAGCTAAAAAGTGTGTATTGTGAGCCAAGTGAACCAAGCCTACTTCGAGCCGAGCGCTCGCCGTTTGAACGTATTTTTAGAGAAAACCAACAAACTATATCTAACTTAACTAAAGCGTAGCTTTAACACGCCCCGAGTACAGATCGTCGTGCCTAAATTTCAAAGTCCACGGTTGACTTTCTTGCAAGGGCAACGAAACGCTTCTGCGGGGACGAAATTGAGATGATAAACAAGTAAAGTTTCTGGGCCGTATTACTTACTGCCCGCCCCCACCTACGAATGATAGCGAGAGAGAGATGAGATGTGTAAGAAAGAATACAAATAATAACAATGTAAATAATTAAATTGTGATATAGTATTTCTTAGCACAATTGTGATCTTAACAAACGGCTGGCAACTACAAAAACTTTTATAAGCGAACCACAACACCATTTTAATCAATCAAAAAAATGTCCCGCTCACAACCGTTCAAAATTGAGACCCACTTTCCCACAATCAGGGGCAATATCAGGCATATCTCAACAGTGAAATGTTTCGTCAAATTTTTATTGACAACTTGGGAATGCGACGCTAATTATGAGAAAACAAAACATTTAACGAATTTAAATTAGTTTAAAATTGAATGCTTAAACGTCTTCAATCATGATAAATTTGTATGATATACACGAAGAAGGGTAAAAGTATTTGAGCGATTTGTAATTTAACGAAAACCAGAGGACGAAGTATATTTTTGTGAGCCATTAGTGCGTAAGACAGAGGGAGAGAAGCCTTTTAAGAAATGTTAAGTCTTTTGATAACTACGCGTAGAGTTCGTTAAGGTTTTCTACCACGCCAAGTTTCCTATAATTCGTAAGCATGCCGCAACATGTTAACTTATTTCTCCATCAAGCATAGTCTCCAATGTGTGAAACAGTTGCCTATTAGCGTTTATCTTTAGACTAAGCAATGATTAGCAATGTCTCCAAGGTCGTAATCTCAGAGTCTATTAGTATACACCACTGAAAATCAAAAGAAGTTCCCCGTAACTCGGTCTTTTGTGTACAATTCGATACTAGTTCTTTAATCTTAAAAACCAAAAACAGAAAAATTTGCATTTGCTTTAAATCTTTTACCATTGACTTTTAAAGCTTTTTGAAAAGCCATATTAATTTTTATTTTATATGTTTACATAATGAGCTGCAAATTTGTTTTAAACATTTCTTTTTTAATTTGGATTCGGATTATATTTCATTTTTATTAAAAAAAACGTATAGTTTAAAATTTTATTTTTTGGAAACCGTGCAAAATTTGTTTCCAGCCGCCCAAGACAAATGCCCAATTGGAATTGGCAATAATTTGGATCTATTTTGATTCGGTACCTTCTTCTGTTCATTCTTAAAATCACACCGAAACCTAATTTCCTTGGTTATTTGTCTGGGCCAATCGACAAACAAACATCAAACTTATCCAGCAAGCAATGAATATCAAATTACAACCAAGAACAACCATGTTTAAACAGCTTGAAAACTACAAGAAACCCAAGAATTAAATATTAAATCAACACGAAAGCAAAGTCAAAAATGTTAAGTGAAAAAACTGATTCCAGTCCAACCGATTCTTAATTTAAGGAACTGCAAACCTGTTAAAATTACACCCAAGTCCAACCCAACAACAATATTATAGTTTATTTTCGTTTTTTTTGAAAAACCGCAGACATAGCATTAACTAACTTTAGTAAAGGGCTCCTGGAACAACAACCGACGACATTAAGTTAATTTAAGAGAACGTTGGATGAGCGAGAACTTGATATATTGAAATCTTGCCAACATCACCGCCCGACGATCCGTGTGATCCGAATACTCGCTCCAAGCTAAATTTGCTATGCATTTTAACCATTGTATCCAAAAAAAAAAAAACCAAAAACAAATCTGCAAACACGTCCAAAACAACAACGTAGGGCGTGAGTACACCAGAATAGATTTCCCGAAAACAATATGGATACAATACGAAATTTGAATAATCCCATTTATGAGGTTGAACAACTCTATTCTTGTGTAAGCACCTCCTTAAAAATCATACGATATCAAAAATACAAAGTAGAAATTAATGCCAAAACAACCAAATACGAAAAACAAAGTTAACTCTTCAATCAAGAACAATTGTAACGTAAAAATATTATTAAATAACTAATTTGTGGCAATATATATTTCCAACATTTTTCCCCCCCAAAATTCCGGCAATAAATTGATGTACCAAGTTTTAAGAACCACGTTTTTCTTTGTACTCCTGGGTAGCGGTATTATTTATTACAATCTGGAGTCACTAATGCTGGTAGTGTTATCTTCGAAGTTCAGCACACAAAAAAAAAAGGTAATACTCTAGTTTACGGTCCTCACTCCCAAAATTTGCGAAAAAATTATCCTCGACAGACCGCGAATTCTTAAGAATTTACATGAAGAAATATAGGCGCGGACTGCCATGGTTCTCTTGTAATCGAATTTCAAAGTTACGTGTTTTGCGATAAAAATACAGTTGGCTTCCCTAAGACTTGCTATAAGAACATATTGGATTTTAATAAGTTGTCAAAATAATAGGCCTCCTGAAAAATTCGACAAAAATGTCTAATGGTTTTTATAGGGGTCGGACCCTACAGCCGCGAACTAAATATCCTCCGTGGACAGCGATTCCTTTAGAATTTATTGACCATGGGAGACCAATATAAAACTTCCTAAGACAGATCTAAAGAAATCGCGATCCAACGAGGATCATTACAGTTTACCTATTTTGTGGCCTTATTAAATATTATATTTTAACCTTTTTCACGGTCTAAAGAAAATCGTGGAAAAGGCTACACCAATAATGCACGAATTTTATAGTCCTAACCGCAATACAAGTACTTAAGAGAATTGAAAGAAGTGCATTGCGCTGCAAGCAAAAAATCGCGCGATTTTTTTTTAAATATTTTTCGTTTGAGGCGCATTTTTTGCAATATTGGACCGCGATTTCTTAAACTTTACCTTTATAAGTTACGCATATGTTGGTCATCCATAGTCATTCGAATTCTTAAGGAATAGCGGTCCATCGAGGATATTTATTTCGCGGCTGTGGGGTCTGGCCCCCTATAAAAACAATTTCAGATTTTGGTCGAATTTTTGTGAACGCCAATTATTTTGACAAGGGATGAAAAGCCCTTATGTTTAGCAAACCACTCAAAATCATAAAAAAGGCTATTTTTTTTTATAGCAAAACACGTAACTTTGAAATTTGATTACAAGAGAACCATGGCAGTCCGCGCCTATATTTCTTCATGTAAATTCTTAAGAATTCGCGGTCCGCCGACCGCTAGAGTATTAACAAAAAAAAATTGTCAAAAAGACCCCAACCACAAAAAATTGTCAATTTTGTTGTTGTGAAAGTAACTATTTACTTAGCAGAATTGACTATTTTGTGTGGTTGGGGACTGATTGACAATTATAACAGTTGATTTTACCAAGTTTTTTTTTTTTTGTGTGCGGGGAAAGAACATCCTAGATCGTCAGCAAAGATGTTTGCTAACTTACTCAGGGATCAAAGGGAGTTACCATGCACAAGGAACCGGTTGGGAATTATAGCGTCGCGAGCGCAATAATGAATAATGTTAATGTTTTTGACGATTTTTTAGACTCGAAATTGTTTTATTGCAATTCTGTTATTATTATAAAAATCAAATTAATTTCATAACACGTCCGTAGAACTTAAATGGTTACTTTGGGGCTTTTGTCTCATCAACACTTATGTACTTGCCCTTCTGCAAGGACATTTTTTTGGGCAGGCTGATAAACTGTCCCCCGCTGGAAGGAAGCGGCTGGACGAGCTCAGGGAAAGAGCGAACTTGGCGGCCAATGTGCTGTCGTTTGTGGTACGGCACCTTTCGACGATCTGGTTCCACTCGTTGTGCGGGATCCACGGTCATAAACTGACCCTGCCGCTGGAGTCGCCAAGGCTGTAGGTGCGAGCGCATGTGGGACCTGTAATGGCCGGGCAGGATTGGGGTATTACAACCCGCGTAGGGGCAGATGTGACTACGATCCCTGTGCCACATGAGATGCGACTCAAATCGCGCCCACATCCGGAACCTTCGATTGCAGTCCTTATGGCGGCACTCGTAGACCTGCGGTGGAGGTCCTTCCGCTTCGGGGCTGTGTTCCTGCATGTGTCGCTCGTAAGATCCCCGGTACTTGACGCACTCCGGCGCACTGTGTTCGTTATTCTCGTGGCGGATGACGTCAAAGTATCTTGGGAATAACTGATTACATTTTAGGCAAAGGAATTCCAGATCCCTTCCGCCACACTTGCTCTTCGTATGCCCCATCGTTTTGATATGAGTCTGCAGCTCCCGAAGAGTGGGAAAGTCCGAGCCGCATTCACGGCAATAGTAGGAGGGATTCGGACGCGCTTTTCCACTGTGCATCCGGATGTGGGCCAGGATTTCGAGCACCTGGTCGCAGCAAGTGCACAGCATACGGGTGGCCTTGGTCCTGTCCCTGAAGAACTTGGTAATCGCCAAGCCATCGGAGGCCAGTCCCACGCTGAAGAAATCGTCGCGAGCGGGTTTCCAATCGTTCCCCTCTGCCACTTCCATACCATCGTTTTGGTCCGATTGATCATCATCGTCTTCCTCCTCTGACCCTTCCATATCGTGGTCCTCACCTGCCTCCTCATCTTTTCCAGGCGATTCCTCCTCATCTTCTTCAGGTGATTCCTTTTCATCGTCGGAGGACGGAACCTCCAACTTCACTTGAAACGCCTTGGAGTCGTCTATTTCGAGGGCTCTTTCCTGGATCTCCTCCTGGGCTTTCTTCCATTTCTCAAGGCATTCGCTTATACGTAATACCTCCTCAAAACAGGGACTGCAAAGGCACGAAGCCTCTCCCAGGCTGGCGATCTAAAATCGGTATGTTAGTGTATAAATTCTATAGGAGCACTGAACTTACATCAACTTTGTAGCACTCGAAGAGTCTTTGCAGCAGTTGGTTTGCCGATTTAAACTTGGGCTTCTCGAGATCTTCCTCTACCGCTGGATTGTCCTTGCATAGTTTGCACAATTCATTTGACATTTTTCAACTACACAATTCTGAGAACTCGATGAAAAGACTTTAGCTAAATAATCAATGATTTCCTCGATGTCGGCCAATCGATAGTATCGATGAGATTCTGAATAATCGCCTGTTCTCTAACAGTATCGATAGTTTGTTGAGCTGGTAATATCATCGATAATCAAATTTATTTATCGATTTGTAGTATTTTTATTTTTAAGAATTTCTACAAATGGAATCAAGCTCAATCATGATTGGAAACACAGTACAAAAAGTACTATGGTTTCCTAAAATGTATTTATCTTTTTCTGTATTTCGACTGAGAAATACATTTTAATTTACTGAAATTTGCACATTGTTTTCCTTTCTTTTATTAAAGTTAAGGACTATACTAGTTTACCTTATTTTCCTAGGCCTTACTCCCTTCAATAAAGAATCCTACAACAAAATAACAAAATAATTATAATTTTGTAAAATTTGTTGTGTTAACCCCCCAAAATATGTCAATCTTAAAATTTTTTATTTTACTTTATTAGTTTGAGTCCAGGTGGTGAATAATGAAGTCACCAACTTGTTCGAGTTTATTTTGCTCCTGTCTCCGACTTCGGTCCTTTTGCTTTTGCAGAATGAATTGTTTCCTCCTCCTTTGCCGTATCATCGCCATGTGATTATCAACACTATGGCCTTCCATGTGCCGATCGAAATGTTTCTGGTCCGAAAACTTAAGCCTGCATGTTAGGTAATTACAGATGTAGTAACGCTGCGGTTTGGCCCTCTTGAGACCCTGAATGTTCCGATCGTAGTCTGGTTTGAACTTGATGCAAGTGTGGACACTTTTCTCGTGGCGTTGGGCCAGGCTAACATTTAGGAACATCATTCCGCACTTCAGGCAGCGATATTCCATTTCCCTTAAGCTTCGCTTGGCATGGTTTCTCGTGTCCCGGTGCTCGAATAATTCCGTGTAATTCGCAAAGCAGGCACTGCAGTCGTGACACACGTAAACCGGATTTTTTCGCTCAAAGTCATTGTGCTTCTTAACAAGACTTACGTTTGCGAAGACGTGATCGCAGCAGCTGCACAAAAACTGGACGACACCAAATTTGTCCTTGAACAGTTCTACTATTTTCAGACCGTCTTGTCGGAGGCCCACACAGAATACTTCAGCTTCTTCCGTTTCCACAAGTTCATCTTTATGTGTATTTTTCGCAGCAGCAGCCATCAAATCGACGTGAACCGCCAGGGCGTCGTCTATATCGAGGTTGTCGGTGCTCTCGTCCGGAAGTAAATCAATAATTTCAGGTAGCGGGTCTGAAGATTCCACCTCTGGAACTACTGTATCATCGTTTTGGGCTGGTCGTAAGGATTCCCTCTCTAGAACTTCTCTAGTATCTTCTTCCAAAGCTTCTGCGCCATTTTCCCAGGTTGACAAGTCCAACTCTTTCTGAAATGCCTTGGAATCGTCAATATCTAAAGTGTCGAAGCAAAGGATCTTTTGGGCTGGTTCTAAGCTATCCTCCCCTGAGTTTTCCTTGTCATCTGTTACAGGGCTCTTTAGCCTGATGCGAACCGCCAAGAGGTCGTCCATATCCAGAGTGTTTTCACTTTGAGGTCGCGGTTCTGCATCTTGTTCTGTTTCTTTTGCTGGTGGGGACTTTAATGGGACGTGAACCGCCAAGATGTCTTCTATATCCAGAGGTTCTATTTTTCCCGGAAGAGGTTGTGGGTATTCCTCCTCTAGAACTTCCCTATCACCTGTTGATAGGAAATTATCACCATTTTCCGCGACTAATGTCTCAACCTTCACATGAACATTCTCTATATCCTCTTGGGGTCTCTCGAAGGCCACACTTTGGGGTGCTTCTAAGGACTCAGTCTCTGGATCATTATCATCGGCGAAAAAATCATACAACGCTTTTGAGCGGCTTATATTCCTGGCTTTTTCTCTAAGCTTTATCTGGGCATTTCTCCATTTCTTGAGGGATTCGCTTATGTGTATCACAGATTCAAAACAGGGCTTACAAACGCGTAAGCTCTTTTCCAGGTCCGAAATCTAAAAAGAAATACATTAATCTCCAAAGTTAAGGAAATATTTAGTGGGACGCACATCAATTTTGTAGCAAACGAAGAGTTGCAGCAGAAGTTTTTTGGTTGACTTCAGCACGGGTTTACGGAAGTCCACCTCAATTCCCTGATTGTCCTTGCACAATTTGCAAGCCTCTTTATCCGACATTTCGAAAAAGATCTTTAGAAATGGCTATTTTTAACAAATAAAAAATGTAAACAAATTTCTTTTTTTTTTTGGCTTTGATTTCAACGAACGTTGAAAATGAAGGTTGGTCGCACGACTAGTGCATATGACCAGATACTTTGTCTTGAATTTTGTAATACACAAACTTAACCTAAAAGTGAATCCACACCACGAGGTCCCTTGCCCTACCCGGCGTGAAATGTGCGTGTTTCTTCAAAGGCCTGTGAATGTGGACAGTGTAAACAAATTTCTTTTTTTTTTTTTGGCTTTGATTTCAACGAACGTTGAAAATGAAGGTTGGTCGCACGACTAGTGCATATGACCAGATACTTTGTCTTGAATTTTGTAATACACAAACTTAACCTAAAAGTGAATCCACACCACGAGGTCCCTTGCCCTACCCGGCGTGAAATGTGCGTGTTTCTTCAAAGGCCTGTGAATGTGGACTGATAAACAAATTTCGACGATGTTAACTACGGGAATATCTTAAAACATCGATAGGTAATGAACCCGAAGAACTGGTTCGCTTGGGCAAAAACATCGATATAAAAAAACCTTATCAGGACTCAAGGGGGATTCCCTAAACTGTTGAATTGCTGAATTGTTGAAAATTCAACAAAAAATTTCAGCAATTAAGGGAACGACCCTAAATGGTTCCTGTTGAATTTTCAAACAGCTGTTATTTGTTGAAAAATTTCACGAAACTTAAAGCACGTAAAATTTGATTTATTATTGCTAGATACTGTCTAAAAGTGTTACCGAGGTAAAAAGAACCACAAATATGCTTTCTAAGTTGATTTAAAAATAAATAATGCGTACTGGTGATACTAAAATGTTAGAGAGCTGCCACGACTTTTAAAAAAAGGTGAAAACTCTGGCTTTTCAGCAATTCAACAACATTTTCATCAGCCCCGAGGCTGTTGAATTGCTGAAATTTCTGAAAGTTGACTTTGTATGGAACAGCTGATTAACAGCTGACCAAAATTCAACAATTCAGCAATTCAACAGTTTAGGGAAGTCCCCTTTAATTTTGCGCTATGCTAGAATCTGAATTCGAAAAGGAACTTTTCTTCATAACTTTTAGAAACTTCGATTTTACGGCTTAAAGACTCGGAATTGCAATTAATCCGAAATATCTGAATACTAAAGACAACAAAAGTGAAATTGCCATATTACCAAAAGAAGGTTTAAGTTATAAGTTAAGGTTTTGAAGTCTTATACTTGATGACGAAGCGCACCAGGAGAGTGTGCGAAGGCGACTACTATATATACACGAAGAAATGAAAATCTACTGTGATGGTCCGATCATAATGAATGATACACCTATCGAAAGGTATTACGAAAACTAACAGGATTGCATACCAAGACTTTAAGAAAATCAATTGGCTTGGGAGAGAGAGCGGTGAAAGTGAAAAAGTGAAAATTTCGAAATTTGGAGCTGTTGGGGCCGGTGGGGATAAATGCCCCCTCGCAATGTTTTATTTGTATTCCTTTTAAAAATACCCGTCGAATGAGGGGTCATTTGTCAAAATCCGACGCTCCGTTCAAAAGTTATAGCCAAAATACGATTTTCTTCATCTTCCCAAAATGAAAATTTAATTCTGTTTGTCAGTTTGTCAGTTTGTCAGTTTGTCAGTTTGTCCAAAACATGTTTTTTAAGTTTTTAAAATTTGATATGACGTTCATCACATCGATATCAAAAACTTTTCTTCTACCACTTTTGGAAAAACTCGCTAGTTTAGCGGGAAAACAGCTATAAATAGCTAAAATTCGGAAAGCTTATATACTATATATATACTATACTAACTTATATACTACTAAAGCTACAGACTTGTGCTGCATCTCGTTGGAAAGGTATTTTGAAATGCTATAAACGCCTTCTATATGCAATTTGTGTAAATGTAATAGTTAAAAAAATATGAACAAAAGACAATTTTTTAAAACTTTTTTTTTAGCTTTTTTTTATTTTTCTCAAAAACGGCTCTAACGATTTTCTTTAAAACCTTAAACTGTATAGCCCTTGAGATTCCTTAAATTTTGGTATATAACACATTACTGTAAAAAGTCACGTTTAAAAGTTATTTTTATACGAAAATAGCCACGAACAATTAACGCTCCCTGAGTATTGAATTTTGTGTGAGGGTATCCGAACTGTATTTTAGGGTCATGGAATCAGTAAATTTGCACCTAAGAGTTCCATATAGGAATCTTTTGTTCTACGACTTTTGGAAAAAGCCGCTACTTTAGCGGGAAAAAAGCTAAAAATGGCTAAATTTCGTTAGTTTGTAAGTTCTAAACTACTAAAGGTACAGACATGTGCCATACCTCGTTTAAAAGGTATTTTGAAATACTTTTTAACTTACTTCACCTTCAACATACAAAAGTTCTGATATCAACATTTGTGACGAAAAATTATTACACTCGTCATTAAATAGACTTTCTAATATTTTCTCATTCGGCCCGCCCTAGCAAACTATTCCAGCCTTTTTCCCTTCACAGGCATTTTCTATTGCAGCGTGCCGAATGAGAAAATATTAGAAAGTCTATTTAATGACGAGTGTAATAATTTTTCGTCACAAATGTTGATATCAGAACTTTTGTATGTTGAAGGTGCGTTCGTCACTAGTTTTTTACCTCGTTAAGAGGTGTTTTTATTTGATACTTGATACTGGACGTAATGAAAACTGTAGTATTCGACAGTTTGCAATAAACAACGGATTTTGTGTAATTAATTTTTTAAAGTCCCTATAAATTTCATATTACTATTATTTCTATAAGATTTCCTTATTTTAGATTTCATTTTTCACAAATAGATTTTTAAAAATATGGGGAACTAGTAACCAGTTCCTAACGCCGTTACCCACTGACTATCGATTATTCACAATCGACCATCAGAATCGCGAACTAGTTCGGTTCGTGTGCAGCAGAACGCAAAGTACAACAGGATTTTTTTCGCTCCGTGTGACGTGAAAAGTGCACATAATATTTGTTCAAATTAGTTTAAGTCTAGTTAACTAGCCAAACAAATAGCCATGGTAGGTAATCGATGGAGATTGGATAAGCATGATTAAATGCTGACGCAGTGAGAAGTGTGGGTGTGTGTGCGAGCCGCGCGTTACCTGGTGTGTGTGCATGTGTGGCAGTGTGTGCGTGTTAAAAAAGCGGCCGCCGCGTCACAATACAAAATTGTGCTTCGATTTTTCCTAATTGCATTTCGATTTTTCCACTTTCCATTACCATTTTCCCGGATGGGATCAGTCGTTTGCGGAAAAGATAACGGGCCTGCTGGCACGGCCGAATCAACAAGATCCAATTGGACCCGAGCAGCCCTGGTATCTCAAATATGGAAGTCGACTACTGGGCATTGTGGCCGCTTTCTGTGAGTTAATATACATACCTACATATATAACCAAAAGTTAAGACCATATACTGACTTAACCCCCTGACGACTGAGGAAAAGATACATCCGTGACATTGGGCGGCCCAAAAATATGTTGCATCGATTTTTGTGTACCACCCGTTGTTGTTGCTGTTATCTATTCGTAGGTGTAGCTGTGTATTTGTGTTTGTCTTCCTGTGTGTGTACGCACGCTCTCTGACATTGATAAAGGAAAAGAGAGAGCGTGTGAGAGCGGAGAAAGGAAACATGGGAAAGACAACACAAAAGGATACAGAAATAAATACACTGAAAAAAATCATAAGTGAAATAATAGTTTATCAATTTTAGCAAAAAAATATTTTTTGGTATAACCAGTGATATATGTATGAAACTTTTTGTTTTAACATTTTCAGAAATCCATTTGGCTTTTATTACAAATATTTAATGAACAAAAACATATCCTTTGTTTTATTCATTTCTTGTTGTGTACAGGAAATTGCAAGTGTGTGAAGGAGCTTTTCTGTGTCAAGTTTGGCGCTCTGTTTTTTTTATTTTTCCATATCGAATGTAATTCTCTGTGGCCATTCACTGGAAATTCGCATTGCCTTTTGTTTTATCAGCATCCCCCACTTTCTTCTCGCCCTCTCTTTTATCTCTGTTTCGTTTTGCGTATTTGCTTTGTTATCTGCACTCATTTAACCTTAACCTTTGGATGCCCCACGTGTCATAAGTGTAACATCGCAAAATTACTCAGAATCCTAAATCAGCTATTTTAATTAATTTCATCATCACTGATAGAGCTCGATCATTATTGCAGTTGAACGAACTTCGCAGAATTTATAATCTAAATTTTCCCAGCAATATTCCCGTGTTTTTCGATTGAAACGAAATACAAATATCTGTTTGTTCTTTTAAATTTAATATTTTTGTTTTATAATTTGAAAGGCATTTAATAAAATTAAAATTTTTAGAGGGTTAATATATTTTTTTTAATGAAATCGACTTATTTTCGCTACCGATTTTTCTTGCCTCTGTATAATCGCTTCTTTTGTGCTCGCATTTCCCGACGATGTTTCTCACTTACTTAGGGAAATGGAGAAATTTCTATTAGGCAATTGTTGCCCAACAAATGAACACTATCCACTTAAAATCAATATAAATAGCTGAATACCTCAATTAAGGGAGCAAAACTCACTCGTGCGGCTTCCTCAATGAACCGGTTGTGTTTGGGTAAAAAAAAACCAAAAGTCTATGATTAATAAATAATTTTATTAGCCGGTCCGTAGAGCACAACGACTTCTTACCCAAGTTGGGTCAGTTTGTCTGGGTTTATGAACCGCAATAACCTCAAAACACAGATCGGATTTCGCAAAAAGAAAAGTAAAGCTTGCAAAAATAAAATACAGAAAAATCCAAAATGGTCCGGATGAATTAATCTTTTTTTTATAAATATAATGTTTTGATATTATAGGAATTGAGCTTTCCCTCGTGATCTTCCGTAATACATTCTGTAGCTACCTTTATACAATTATCATGCCCAGACATTTATTTATCTAAGAATTAAGTTCGTATGTGTTGTTTGCTCTTTGTTTATGCTTTTATCATAGACCGAAAGCAGCTGATAAAATATTTTAATGCAATTTCCTTGTACGCCCCTAGCGATATCAAGTACAATTTAGAGCATTCTTTTTCTATGAAAGTCAACTTTCAATTTGCCCAACTGTTTTCAATGTGTTTTGTCACGCTTCTGTGGCTGGATATAGTGGTTAATTTATAAATAAAAGAGATCCGGCCACATAAAGGCGCTAGAAATTGGCACATATATGAGTCAGCGTTGTCGATTAGATTGCGTTTCCAAATGTTTAATGGGCCCAGTGGGAGTATGTGATTAAAATTTTTGGTTAGTCTCCTGGGTCAGTGTTTGAAGATAAAGAAATACGCCTTTCAAAAAGAACTTTAACAAAACTGAAAAATACAAATAAGTTCATAGTCGATAACATATTTAACGAAACATTCCTCTTGTGTTTTTGATTATAACATTTATTTGATGCAATTATATTAAGCTTAGTTATTAAATAAACAACATTAAAACAATCGTTAGACAACAACATATTAATAATGGTTGTATTTGTTTTCTGCAGTTTGATTAACTGTTATCAGTCGAATGTAGGCAATGTATTATTGTTTTGATAACAAAATTCCAATAAAACAAGTTATCAGGACTGTTGATTCATAGTGCCATTTTTTAAATTGAAAACTATAAAAAATGTATATAAAAATATATACACTTGCCAGAAAAAGTATGCGTACAAATATTTTCCGCAACTTTAGAGCTTAAAAAAACGTCTTAAAAAAATTCGTAAAAATGTCATTTTAATTTTAACATTTAGTACACATATTAAGCTTTAATTTGACGTAACTTATTAATTTCTAGCACCTTTACTTTTCCTAATATAAATAAAAATGTACAAATTGGCCGGATTTCGCATCAGAAAAAGTATGCGTACAAATGCATATGGTATTAGAAAAAGCCATAAAGTGCATAAAACAACCAACAAAATGAGGTATCGTTTATTAAAATCGGGCAACAACTTAACGAGAAATGGCTAGCCATATAACCAAACAAACAACTGCTTTGGCGTAATGCACGAATTTCATACGAATTTCAAAAAAAACTAACCTTCTATCTAAATAAGAAAGTGTTTATACCCATTTCTCGTTAAGTTGTTGACCGATTTTAATAAACGATACCTCATTTTGTTGGTTGTTTTATGCACTTTATGGCTTTTTCTAATACCATATGCATTTGTACGCATACTTTTTCTGATGCGAAATCCGGCCAATTTGTACATTTTTATTTATATTAGGAAAAGTAAAGGTGCTAGAAATTAATAAGTTACGTCAAATTAAAGCTTAATATGTGTACTAAATGTTAAAATTAAAATGACATTTTTACGAATTTTTTTAAGACGTTTTTTTAAGCTCTAAAGTTGCGGAAAATATTTGTACGCATACTTTTTCTGGCAAGTGTATGACAAATATCTTATACGTTTTATAATAAAAAATAACTTTATTACTTTAATTTCCTATCTCTCCCTTTCAGTTGCCATACTTTTCGGCCTGTGGAATGTGTTCTCCATTATCACTCTCAGCGTTACCTGCCTGGTGGCTGGCATCATACAAATGGTGGCAGGATTTGTGGTGATGCTCCTGGAGGCGCCCTGCTGCTTCGTCTGCTTCGAGCAGGTCAACATGATCGCAGATAAGGTGGACTCCAAGCCCTTGTACTTCCGGGCCGCGCTCTACATTGCGTGAGTAACCAATGGAGTTTCCAAAAATTGTATTACTTAATAATGCTTTTCATTTTATTTTTAGCATGTCTATTCCGCCCATTATCATGTGCTTCGGACTTGCCAGCTTATTCGGCAGTGGCCTGATCTTTGGCACAGGCGTCGTGTACGGAATGATGGCGTTAGGCAAGAAGTGAGTAAGGGGGTAATTTAAAAAAAGGCATTAAAATTCAGAAAATCGAAGCTAAGGCCAGTGCGCATAATAATAATACTTAAAAAAGGCCTGTAAAGGATAAATGGACTAATTTAAAGTGTAGCTAGTCAACAGTCTGATAATTTTATAACAGCATGTCAGTAAGATAATACTGTGATAAAATATAACTGTTAACATAAATCTACTATCGACTCTTTCGAACCCAAAAAAGATTATTATTATTTGCGTTTACTTATACGATTTTCTAGATTTTATAGTGATAAATCTATAATGTGGGGGTTAACTTAGTTGCTAAGCAAGCGGAGAAACGAGCGATTTTAGTTAGCTATGCTAAGCCATTTTTGCTAATCGAAACCAATTGTTTTCTCTATATTCCCACGATGTGCTTGCCACTGTGAAAACGCTTAATAAATATAAACTAACACGAATACGTAGAGCTTCTCGGGAGGACATGGCCGCCGCTGCCACATCGCCCACACAGATGGCCGGCAGTCAGGCGGGCGGTCAGATGCAGATGGGCGGCGATCAGCATATCACACTCATGGAAGATCCCGACGTCTGGCGCCCCACATAAATTCCTAGCCGCGCGATTAGTAACTGCCAAAAAAATTACAACTCTCACACCCTCAGATACAGATACAGATAAAAAGATACAGATACACCGACACACCATACACAAAAACACTCCACTAGAAATGCAAATGATGCAAAAATTGATCGAGTAACAAATATTTTACGGCGCCTAGTTTTTAGTGTTCGTTCCAAGGAATAATGTAACTAGGAGAAAAATAAAAATCAATACAAAGCAGCAGCAATGTAGGGCATCAGAGAATAGAATACAGAACACCCCACCAATTACAAAAAGAAATTGAACGAAATTCTCATTATTGTTGAAACCGAGAGTGTTAGTAATCAAAGTGTTTTTTGGGCCAATGCATTTCCGTCATTCGTCCCTTTTTGCATGTCATTCGTATTCGTATTCGTATTCAAATTTTTTAATGTCTTTCGTCGAACGGTTGGTGTTGTTGAAAACTACAGTTAAATATATTATATATGCATAGAGAAAACTACTGATAACAATAACGTAATACACATGTCAAACTGCAGCAAGCATATATTTTTAGTGAGAAACTATATTTGAAAGCTAACCGAATGCAAGAGAAACCTATGAGTAAACCACAGCTTCCACACACTCTCACACACAGCTATAGCTAATAAAGCTAATAAAGAAAAGCCACTGATGATATGGACAGGACAAGTGAATGTCGAGAACCTAGAGCAATATGTACAACTCAGAAAGTATTAACTTTATATGCTTTGCTTCAATGTAAACCATACAATTAAATGTTAAACGTTGTTTGAGAATCGATTTGCTCGCAAGATAGTCACAAATTGAAATTGAACATAATCAAGCATACAGATAGAATATATATACAACAAGTTGGAGATTTACCAGTTATATTTTTTAAATGTTGTGAACAAAAAACGTGTCCATTTCAATTTGAAGCATTTTAGACATTTTTCGTTATAGACAATTACTTGGTTAATAGGTTTTCTTTTTCGGGCTTCGTATGATTTCTTGTTTGCTAAAAGTATCTGTTTTTTTGTATGTCTAAGTTATTTATAAGTATTTATTCCAATCGTTTCAACTTTGAAAGTCTGAGAAAAAAGCGTTTTGAATTATTTGTATTATTGCCTATTGGCGTTCTTACCACAAGAAGCATTCCAAAATCTGTTTATTTACACCTAAGTTACTGTATGTTTTATTTATCATAACTTTAAGTATACGTTATTGAAAAAATACTCGCGAGAACTTGTTATAATAGCCTTCGCCAGCAACTGAGAATCTCACCTGAAGTAATAATGAAACGTAATAAATTTGTTAAAATTTGTTAATCAATGAACGCAACACTAAAAATGAAAACATGTAAAATATTTCGTTAGCAATTGAATGCGCATGAATCAAATATCAATGACTTTGTACATGCCACATGAAAACTGTCCAAAAACCTGCCGTTAAAGCCAAGTACAACCAACGGCGGCCAACCGCGATAAAGAACAATATACGATTTACGCTATAACAACTCGTTAATATCTTTGCTGCGTCCCAGAGATCACAAAAGGCAAATACATTTTGAGCTTTCCTTATTGTAGTTTTTTAGCTTGTATATTTTTTTGTAGTCCTTTTCCATGTAGAATTTTTGAAAATATTTTGAGTAGTCCAATATTGATGATGTATTTTTAATTTTGTACATTTCAATTTAAATAGATTAAATTAAATCCTGTAGATCCTGATGTACTTGGCCAAAATTGTACATTTTACACTGTATTTATGCTGCTTTATTTTCTTTCGTTGGTTTGTCATTGGTTTGTGCATTAGTATGGAACACTTTGGCTGTTCTTTCGTCCCTTGATCCTATGTAGGCAAATTCACCGACTTTAGTTGAGCACTTGTAAATTCTATAATTTCGTATATTAGTTTTGTAACCTTAAACTCCAAAGATCTAACAGTCTCTTTTAATTCTTTCCCATAGAGCGTCCGCCGAAGATATGCGGGCAGCTGCCCAGCAAACCTTTGGAGGAAATACGCCCGCCCAGACCAACGATCGAGCGGGGATTGTGAACAATGCCCAGCCCTTCTCCTTCACCGGCGCCGTGGGCACAGACAGCAATGTGTGATCCGGAAGCTAGCTGATCGGGATAGCGGAGAGCTGGGTGTGCCGTGAGAAAACAAGACTCAAAACGCAACATTTGAAGGCAAACCTAACCAAGAGAACATCAGCAGGCAATCTACATAATCATGTGCAATTTCAAATTGTTCAATAACCAACGCAAAGGAATCACAAGTGTTTTTTAAATCCGATTCGCTCTGATCTCCTTCTAGAGCAATCCAAATTATTCAATCAGACGACCCCCTCAACAAAAAAAAAAGGAAAATCATTCAATTAATAAACAGTTTTGTATTAAATGTATGTAAATGTCTACTAGGTTAAAATGCGTTTTGCGTTTTCTAAATCCTATTAATTGTGTTGCCTGTGTCCCATCATTCCAAATTATTTGGTTTCAACTAAGTAGAAATTGCAAATAAATTATTGAACGACATCACTAGCGAGGTGAGAACATCATGTAAAATTTATGTTTAGTCATAGTTTAAATATACCTTAAATATATTTAAATGCATAATACTAAAATGTTTAAATTAATGCAAATAAAACTATAAATATTGTATGTAAACCATATTAAAATTGAATTATACATACTTTAAATTATGTTAAATAAAATTAATTATACAAACCATCGTTGTAATTGTCGTAAGAAAAATGCGGCATGCTTTTTGGATGATTTTGTAGCTCTGAGTACCTTTTGGGGTTACTAAAAGTTTAGATTTATGTTTTGATATCTTTTATTACTTAAACTTTTCATCATAAAAACAAATACTATGTATAAAAACAAATATTGTAAAAAATTTAAGTTGGTGCTTAAGCTTCCTTTGAGGCGCTTTCTTCACTTTCAGAGGATTCGGGTGCATATTCGATGAACTCATAGATAACTTCGTCGCTGTTGCCATCGCTACCGCTGTCGTCCTGATCGTCATCATCCTCGGCGTCGTCCTCCTGCAAATCATTAGCAGACTCATCCGAATCCTGCGAGAATTCCCAGCGGAAACGGCGATCGCTGATCAAATCGTTGTCAGCTGCCGAGGAGAGACTAGCGGCGATCACCATGGCGAGGACACCTAATTGGAAAAATCATTGTTAGATGATTTGTTATCCTTTTGCTGCCTTTCTGCTCCAAGCTCACCGAAGAACAGGAAGAAAACCTTGTTGGACTGCATATTTGATGATTGATTGTAGCTTGAGATGCTTTCGATGCTGAGTGAGGTTTTGGCCCCAGCTTTTATACCCAAATTTTGGCAAAGGCACTTGCGAATCGTCTGACCCAATAGACAGTATTTGACTGCCCCAAGATCAACGAATTGCCCTACAATTCTAAATAAAAACAACTAACTAAATATTAGCATAGCTATTGAGTTTGAGGTTTCTGGAGTGTGATCAAGATCAGCATTTCGGGGCGTGCTTGGGAATTTCGAGAGCTAGAACAAAGATTTAATGTCGTAAACTGGCGTGCCTAATTTAACAATAAAATAACTTAGATATATACTAATTGGGGGTGCCGAATTCGAATAGTTGTATTCACATTGACTATTAGTTTCTTAATTTCCAAAAAAAATATATTCCGAAAACAAAACATGTTCTCTGAAAAAGATGCGTACTTTTATTCAAATATATTGCTCGGTTATGCATAGATTAATAACAGCAACGTGTAAATAAATGAATTCATTTATATGACGAACTTTTAAAATTTCCTTATAAATTCCTTTATTTAAAGTATTCCATCAATATGACAAAAAAATGCTTTGAAGAAAGGATTGATTTACGGTGTACATCAAAATTTAAATGCTTTGGCTTTCCTAGTTTATAAGATAGACTGGAAATGCTGGGTTCAAATACTATTTTATAAATACCAAGAGCACAGTTAATGCCAGTCATCGCGGCGTTGCCAGATCGTCGGGGTGAGATCCCTGAAAGTATGCCACATTTAATCGAACAGTCGAATGTTAAAAAAATCAACAAAAATGTTAAAAGTTTTTTAACAGCTGTCCACAATGTTATGTGATGTTTTGGTTCCGGTTCTGTTCTGGTACCGGTACCGTTAAAAAAATAGTTAATACTTAGAAATGATTTATATTAATTTTATTAGGTAAAAAAACTTTATTGCAAGAACATTAAAATTAAGTAGGTTTTTTGATTAGTTAGCGATTTTATTATTACTATATTTATTAAGAATTAATTAAATGTTGGGTTATTGGTTCCTTTAAAGAAACCACGTAGACAGGCGCCAAAATTCCGTGCCAAAATTCCAGACATACAACTTGTTAAGACAAAGAGTGTTTCTGGTAGAGCGACATTTTCTTCCAACAGCAGAACATGTGCTAAAAAGGGATGGGAAGAAGTTGATATAGCGGCAAGTGCGATCTGATACATACATATGGGTATTTTTTATTCAGGATTTTTACCGAATTTAGTAAATGAGCACAACAACCGTACCGGTACCAGCAATACGATAATTGGTTCGAAATTACATTTTTATTTTCCGGTTCCCTTTTGGGAATCGGTTTATTCTGATTATCGGTTCCTGTTTCGCTTTAGGTTTTATTTCCCGATTAGGAACACTAAAAACGTTTAATTAACCATTTATTAGTATTGTTGGTATTCAGGTTCAGGTTCCGCTTCCGGTTCAGGTTCCGGTTCGGGTTCGGGTTCTGCCTGTGGTTGTGGTATGGACATCACCGATGAGAACAATGCCAAAACTAGGCACTGAAAAATAAATTATGATTAAAAGTAACAAATGAATTAATTTTCAACCACTCACGAGAATAAAGAAGAAATGTAATAATCTCATTTCGATTGTGTTGTGTTGACGATTCCGAAAGAACTAATACATATTACTAAGAACTGTTTCTTTTATATATCACCGTTTTTCGGCATTTCACAGAAACAGAAGTACAAAATATATAAATTTTCTTGATGTTTAAGAATAGATCCATACCAGTTTTTTTTGGTTTGGCACACGTTTGTGTATCATAAAAAACGGCGGTGAGCCGAAGCTTATATACCCTTGCAGATACAAAATGTTAAATTTTGAATTATTTTGATATTAAGTTTTGCATCCTTCATATGGCGGTTATAAAATATAGTCGTCTGATTATTGCTAAATTTAATTTCAAATTCTGAAATATTAAAAAAGAGTAAAAAAATACAATAAAAACCAACGAAGTTATAGTATGTTTCCTATTTATTATACTCGTTACTCGTAGAGTGAAAGGGTATATTGTATTCGTGCAAAAGTATGTTACAGCTAGAAGGAAGCATTTCCGACCCTATAAAGTAAATATATTCTTGATCAGGGTCACTAGCCGAGTCGATATAGCCATGTCCGTCTGTCCGTCTGTCTGTCCATATGAACGCTGAGATCTCGGAAACTATAAAAGCTAGAAGATTGACATTTTGCATGCAGATTCTAGGAGCTCTTACGCAGCGCAAGTATGTTTCAAAAGGATGCCACGCCCCCTCTAACGCCCTCAATCGCTTATATACGATTTTAAAAATTTCAATATTTCGGAAAAGTAAAAATACAGTTTTATGCTGTTTATCAAAGTTTTTATCTCCTTCGCACTCCCTTTAGCTGAGTAACGGGTATCTGATAGTCGGGGCACCCGACTATAGCGTTCTCTCTTGTTTTATATTCATTTTTCGATCGTTCTTATGCCAGCTATATGATATAGTCCTCCGATTTTGATAGCATTAAATTCGAAATTCAGAATTAATAAAAAAATGTTATTCCCAAGCGTGGAGGTTATTATTCAAAAAACTCCGAGAGTATATTTTTTCTAATTGTTTTTTTTGTTCGATTATTCCTATGATAATATAGTTGTTCGATCCGGATCCCTTGCAAACTTCTGACTGAAATCATTATACCCCTTGCAAGGGTATAAATATCTGCTTGTTGTTCATCCCAATGGCCAATTTTTTTAAGCTTGTCCATTTCGTCATCCATGCGGTCTATTTATGTATAAAGTAGTCGTCAGAAATTTATAACAAATATAAAAATAAACAGAATAACCTTTTAAATACACGTGCTTTGGATGATTCAAATTAAATAGTTTTTATATATATTTGGAAATTTGAATATAGTAAATATAGTTAATAGATATTTACAGAAAACTTATAGCAATAAAAAGAAGAGATTTATTTGAAAATGTTGTATGTGAAATATATTCACTGAGTTGTATTCTTTTTAGAATTCTTAGTCTTGTCTATTTTTGTCTGGGGTTTCCAGTTCAAAAACTTGGATGTTGATATTGATCCGTTTGGATAGAGAGAATCCTCAATTGATTGAGCCCACATAAGTTGAGCGCATCTGTCTAGACATCCTTTTTAAGAAATACCTGGTGATCTCTCCCTCTTTTTACGTAACTCAATGTAGCAGAAAATCCTTTTGTCCTTTTGTATCTTAGCAATTGATCGTAAGTCTGCCTTTGGGGCAAAGTATCGATTACGCAATTCGATTGAGCAGGGAAAATAGTTCGGTGGCGTAAGATGTGGGTCAAGTGTTTGGGTACAGGGTAGATTTCAGATGAAAAGACAGCAGATATGGATATTCCCACATCGCATTTATGGAACCCAGTGAAACGCTTTCAAGATACCGAATTTTCTCTGGCTAAAGCGCCGCAGGACAAAACTCTGCGATGACAGCTCAATCTGTGGAGTGTGAAGGAATTTCTTGGCTCGCAGCGTGAATTTTGCAATGGTCCGGTTTTCGGGATGCCTGCTGCTTAACATATTAGCACCAGGACATCAAGGGACAGCTGAAAATGTCAACAGTTCTTGCCAAACGGTGTCGGCGAGTTGACAGACGAAATTTTGTTCCCAAAGCCAGCATGAAATTTGTACTAAAGTTGGCAGCAGGAGGCCGCCTTCTCGCAGGATTCCCAGCTGTTTTTAGCGGCATTTATTCCATTCGACATGCTTTTTTCCCGATATTTTTTCAGAGTATCTTTTCCGCCAAATGGGATTAATTTGAGATTTTTTAAATCGAGTAGCGTGTAGCCGTCTTAAGACTTTGCTTCCGCTTTTTCCCCTCCTTCCTGCTAAATGGTATTGTGTTCAGGATCTGATGCTCCTTTTTTCCTCCTGGCTAATCTCTACTGCTCACATCTCGGCCAGCTGCTCCGCACCGTTTGCCTTTTGTGGCTTGACCATTCGCTTTGTTGTTCGCCTGCAACTTCAATGGCTGGGCCCGACTCACGTCCTTTGTCCTTTTTGTCCGTTCATTTGCTTAAACGCATCTTATCCTGTTAAAATGTGCGCCCCGGCTTTCCGTTTCGCTGGAAAATTGATCTTTTTTGCAAATTTCCTTCTCGGCTCCTGGTCTTCTTATGCTCTTTTCAGAATGCTCTCGAGTGCACACTAATTAAGATTTTCCTCCTTTTTCATCTTCATTGCGGGCAATGCAATACACCAGCTTCGCTTTCAAGTCGACGACAATTGTTATCTTTGGTTATTGGAAAGAAAAGTTTTTGAGCACACATTTTTTGAGAACTAATCGGGTATTGTAAGATGTTCTTTGGTTTGTCGGCTAGTATTTAAACTGATATTTATTAAATTTTTCTTTTGTTAAGTGGGTGTTTGTAAACGGGTAAGATTTTTAATTGTTTAATTCAATACTAGTATACTAAATATGAATAAAAATTAAACTAAAATGTAGAATTGTATAATAATGTATTGCCATTTAAGGCCAACAAAATAATAATTAAAACCAGCAATAAACCAATTCATTCCACACCTGAGTGAATAACCAACAAACCGCTAAAAAAAATATATAACAATTAAAATAACTGAGCAGACCATAAAATTTCTGTTGGCCAATTACACTCATAAAAATAATTTTCTACATTTTAGAAAATCGCCCTAAAAAAATTTTCGCCGTTGAACTGAGAAAAATTTTCTATTTTCATGACAAATTTGCCATAAACTCAAGGCAGTTGACCATAAAAAAATCTTTTTAGGGTTAATTTTTCTATTTTTCTAATATTTAGGGCGGTTTTTTTCGACTTGCTTCGTTTTGACCTTTTCTAAATGCAACGGCGAATTGCCCTAATTTTTTTTCTAAAATTTTTCTAAATACAAGGCGATTTGCCTTAAAAATCACTCCAAAAGTGTGAAATTCGGTAGCCCAGCGGTCTAATCACTTGCGCTTTCAACTTTGCTATATGAGGACTAAGGTCGTGGGGTTGTGGG